TTTCCGAAAATTAGTGGTACCATATTTGTTGGGGGGGTCCCTATAATAGGGATCCTGCTATATTAGGGTCCCCTCTTTTCGGAAACTCCCGTATACTATAATATACTAGAATATGCTGTAATATACCCCAAAAAACCTGATGCTAAAAATGTTCAGGCTACTGTAGTATGGGCCAAAGTGTTTTATCTCAGGCATCCACAAGACTTCTATGTTTTCGCTTGCAACTTAATCTACGCAGAGTATGAGGTGATGTCGGATTGAAACCCTATAAAAGCCTCAATCACAAGGACCTTTAAGGGGGCAGGGGGAGGGGGTAGGCGTCCTTTCTGAGATAGCTGTGCACGGCTTGGAGTCTAGGATTTATTTTTCAGTTTAGGGTCTTGTTGAGATCGACGGAGTTGGGCTCAGGTTCTCGGTTTTGTCGAGCTCTAGTTTGCCATGGGTTCCACTCCGACAGCAATTGCAGCTCCAAATGGAAGTTTCCGAAAATTGCGGGTACCTTATTTTGGGGTCCTTATAATGCGGATCCTACTGTTTGGGGTACGACATTAGGGTCCCCCAGTTTCGGAAAGTCATGGGTTCAGCCTTCAAAGCTTTCCCTAAGGGTCCATGTACCCAAATAGTATATCTTTGGGCCCATCATACCCATATAGGGAATACTTTAAGGCCAATGTATATACTATTTAGGTACATGGACCCTTAGGGTTTCCTAAACCCATTGAGAAGGTCTTGCAAGAAATCATACAACAAATCTTCACAAAATGCCAACCTCAAACCTTACTCAGCTTGCGTTTGTCCCCCTGCAGCTGTGTAGGCTTCGATTAGCGTGTAGTCGGAGCATACGTCGGCGCCCCTTCTTATTGCCTCTTCAAGTCCTTCGTGAAGGATCCCTCAGGGGCTGGGGAGCGCGTTGCTTGGGTTCAGGGTTTCAGGGTTTTCGGGTTTTGGTTTTAGGGTTTTAGAGTTTTAGGGTTTAGGGTTTAGGGTTTGAGGGTTTTGTGGTTTAGAGGTTGAGGGTTTTAGGTTTCAGTGTTTGATTGTTGGAGATGGGTCGTTGTGGGTTGGGTTTTGGGTCCATGGCTTGTCATGGTGAAGGTGTCATTGGGTCCTGCAGCGGTGGCCTGAATAATTACCCATACTATTTGGGGTTCCTTATTATAATGTATAGTAGTAGTAGTAGTAGTAGTAGTAGTAGTAGTAGTAGTAGTAGTAGTAGTAGTAGTAGTAGTAGTAGTAGTAGTAGTAGTAGTAGTAGTAGTAGTAGTAGTAGTAGTAGTAATAGTAGTAATAGTAGAAGAAGTAGTAGTAGTAGTAGTAGTAGTAGTAGTCGTAGTCGGAGAATATACACCCAAAGCCTTGTTCTAGTTATTAAGGCCCCCTCATTATTGTGCTGATGAAGCCGCCAGGACGAGAGCGTTTTCACATGCAGCAAGCAGCGAATCCGTGCGATTTGTGGCATGGCAGCAGGGGCTGCGGACGTCTGATTGTTGCAAGTTTCCGATGGTTCCGTATTATACTACTCATGGTATTATGATTATTAATGCAGGGGTTCCGGTCGTGTGACTGCAATACATTCACGACGGCCCTGATGGTTCTGCGGTATACTTACGGCATGGTGTCATGTACTACCAAACCCTTTCTTCACTATCCAGGTCTTTTCAACAGATTGCAAACGCTGAAGCCTAAAGCCTAAACCCTAACCCCATGCATGCTTAAAGAGATCACGATGTCACGAGGTCAGCCCAGCCGATCAGCATGGAGGAGTCCCGAACGTCGAGGAGCAAGGACAAAGTGAAGCCGGACAAGCACCAAAGAGCAGCCATACAGAGCCTGGAAGGAGCAGATGTGTTGCAGTTGCTTCTACAGCAGGTCTTTGAGCGTGCTTCTTCGGATGGGGTACTTATCGAGTCTTTCTACCTGCAGCAGCAGATCCACTGGGAGATCGAGAAATACTCCAGTCCGCGTCTTTCATCACCCCAGACAATGAGGACCATGAGGAATCTGCACAAGCTCCTCTCTCGCATGATCTTGAAGCAGATGATTCACTTTGTCCGGCATAGCCCTGTTTGTGACAGCTTCCTCGACAATGTGCAGACACAGATGGCTTCCTTTACGGTAGGCAATACGATTGACGTCAACGATGTGAGGCTTGCCAAGTCTGTATGGCTGTAGTTTTCTTGAAGTCGCTATCGCCATTTCGGACGCAAAGCCTGAAACTCGTTTTTTTTTTTCTGGTGCACCTGTTTCAGGGGTGTTGATTGATGCACGCCCGTGTGTGGCAGCGTGTGCCTTTGCATTTACTGTTTCGAGACTCGGTTGGAGCTGGCGGACACGCCACCCCCCCTTAAAGAATTAGATAACTCAATCCCTGAGTTGGCAGCAGATGCACGAACAGGTCATGAGGCTTCATTTTGACGGGGCGGGGGAGGGGGAGGGGGGACTCGCCCAAAAATCTACAGGGCTCCGACATCCGAGTCTCCCACCGGTCCCACCGGTGCTTGCCCGGTCAGTGTGTTTAAGTCATGTCGCACCCTTACAGCTCTAACTTTAAAGTGCCCGTGGCCGCGTGACTGAAATCAGTCAGCGTGCAGATTCTTCTGGATCGTATACAAAAGCTCTTGACACAGAGGCAGGCGTTCAGTTCAGCGCTTACAGTTTAACTTTGGTCGTCAGGACGGTTGATGGTATAAAACCCGCATTACCTTAACGACCCTAAACTATGGGAATTCTGCTATATTCCCGATTATGGGTCATGCAGGATGTTTATAATTTACCCTAATATAGTACCCTAGATAGTAGGATCCTACTTCTAACAAGGACCCCAAAAGAAGGTACCCCTAATTTTCGGAAGCTCCCTTAGACCCTAAACCCCATAGGTCCATCATAGGATCCCTGAAAGGATCCCTTATAGGATCCCTTTAAAGGTACCCCTAATTTTCGGAAACTCCCATGTAGAGCGCCAGGGTTCGTCAGCGTCAATGGATGAACGAGATTTTGACCGCCGCTCACATGAGTTGCTACTTGGAGGTTCAGGGGTTGTTATAAGTGGGGTTATAAGTCCCCTAATACGGGTTATAAGTATAGCTACCCTAGTTATAGTCCTACTTATAACTACCCATGAACTTCCAAGTAGAGATGCAAAGCTGCAAGCTCCCAAGCGAGAGGCTAAAGGGTTTAGGGTCAAGAGACTAAAGGTTGAACTTAACCCACGAGTAGGCTTTGAAGGGGTTAGGGTCTAGGGTTCCGGCTACAGGAATTTTGGGTTTAGGTTTAAGCGTTGGGGGCGATGGAATAGGGTCCGGGGTTCAGGGCAGTTTAGGGGCGAGGAAAGGTTTATAGTAGGGTTTTGTGACCTCCTTACGAATTCTGGTAGGTGTATGCTGTTAGGTTCTATTATGGGGAAAACCCTGAACCTTAGCCCTACTTTATACAAGCTACGTCGAAGTTGGGTATAATAGGGCTATGTTAATCTGTTCCGGTTGCGAGTTCTCGAGGAGGGCCCAGGATTTTCTACATGTCCGGTGTGTCCAAAGCCCCTGAAGATTTGAGGGGTTTAGGGTTTAGGTTGAGGTGCACGAGATCTCGTTCGGGGTTTCTTCTACGACATGAGCTTCGCCTACAACAGATACGTCTGTTTGCGATTACCGCGTACCTTCTGCTACTTAGTAGCTGAGTGGATACACTTTACACTTTTTGGGACAATATTGGCCACTATAAAACTGAAAGTGTACACTTTTGGGGGGCTTCGGAACTCAGCAACTCGTCATCAGAGTTTCACAAGGCGACGTCGGCTTCTGGGTACAGTAGACTGGCTCTGGCCCGGGCCAGTTTGGGCGTTTGCCCTACTTTTACCCTGTTTAGGGTTCAAGTTAGCGTCCAGTTTAAGTTCATGGCTTCGCGGCCACATTTCGGGTTTGAGGGTTCAGGGTGACGGTTTGGGGGTGCAGTCACGCAGCAGAAGTGCGTAAAGACCTTCACAAAGGCCTTGCAGGAGCTCCTGCCAGAATTCCTCACAAAATGCCAACCTCACTCTGCCTGTGTCCCCGCCAGCTGTGTAGGCTTCGATTAGCGTGTAGTCGTAGCATACGTCGGCGCCCCTTCTCATTGCCTCTTCAAGTCCTTCGTGAAGGATCCCTCAGGGGCTGGGGAGCGGGTTGCTTGGGCTCAGGGTTTCAGGGTTTTCGGGTTTTGGTGTTTTAGGGTTTTCGGGTTTAGGTTTCAGGGTTTGGGTGTTGGAGATGGGTTGAGGGCTTCGGGTTATGGTGAAGGTATCATTGGGTCCTCCAGGGGTTCTGCAGAGATGCTTAAGGACGAAATTTGAACCCTAAAAGGGTTTCAGGTTCATAATACCATATAGGGTTTCATAGTATATGGGTATAGGCCCCCTATACTTTTAAGGGTCATTTGGTCCTTCAGGATGTCAAACTCCCAGCTTCCACTTTCGCGCTCGCCAGGACGAGAGCCGTTTCACCCATGCTGCAGGCAGCGAATCCTTGGGATTTGCGACATGGCTGCAAGGCTTCCGGGGGTCTGATTCTACTACATTCCCGTGGCTCCTTCGTAAGTGTACCTATGGTCTTCTGTACCCACTCCTATCCAACTATCAAGGTCTCAACTATCAAGGTCTCTATATTAATAAGGCCCTAAATACTGTAGTTGACAACACTTTTGTTTTTTGGTCCTTATTACTTATTACTTATTACGCTTATAGTAGAATGTAACCCCAGGAATACCCTACTCTGTTTTTTAAGGTCTCTATACGAATATAGGCCCTGAATCATTCTAAATACTTTCTGGGTGGGGTCCTTATCACAGTTGTAGTAGAAGCACCCCCAACTCTACCCTACTCTATATTTTAAGGTTTCTATGCTACGGTTGATGGTCTAAGTCTTGCGTTACCTTAAGGACCATAAACTATGAGAATAATGGTATATTTCTTATTATGGGTAGTGCAGGATTTATATCATTAGCAGTAGGCCCATGCTTGCAGAGAGCACAAGGTCAGCTCGTCCGGCCAGCGGCATGGAGCCCCCGACGTCCAGGAGCAAGGACAAAGTGAAGCCAGACAAGATGCAACTGAACTGGGCTTTGGAGTACCATACTTCAGTTTCTTAAAGGAACCATTATGAAATACAACATAATTATGCTTTTTCTGTTTGTTGACTTAAAAGCCCAGTGAGTAGCTAAATGCGTAATCATTAACCGGTAGGGCTCTTACCCCACATAGAACTGAAAGTTGAAACCTTTGGGTAACTGACGCAACGAGCAGCCATACAGAGCCTGGCCGGAACAGATGTGTTGCAGTTGCTTCTACAGCAGGTCTTTGAGCGTGCTTCTTCGGATGTGGTACTTATCGAGTCTTTCTACCTGCAGCAGCAGATCCACTGGGAGATCGAGAAATACTCCAGTCCGCGTCTTTCATCACCCCAGACAATGCGGACCATGAGGAATCTGCACAAGCTCCTCTCTCGCATGAGCTTGAAGCAGATGATTCACTTTGTCCGGCATAGCCCTGTTTGTGACAGCTTCCTCGACAATGTGCAGACACAGATGGCCTCCTTTACGGTAGGCAATACGATTGACGTCAACGATGTGAGGCTTGCCAAGTCTGTATGGCTGTAGTTTGCGAAGTCGCTATCGCCATTTCGGACGCAAAGCCTGAAACTCGTTTTTTTTCTGGTGCACCTGTTTCACGGGTGTTGATTGATGCACGCCCTTGGCTGCGATGCGCCCCTTCACCTTCTAAGGCTTGAGATAGTCCAGTCGCCGACTTACCCGAGTTGGCAGAAGATATGCGAACAGCCTTCATTCATTTCGCTCTGGCACTAAATGGGGGGGGGGGGGGGCGGGGGCGGGTTGCGGCCCCTCAAAAGCATTTATCGAATGTACGTCCGGTCAGTGTTTGAAGTATACTGTAGACATTTGGGAGCTTCCGAAAATTGGAGTAACTTGTTTGGGGTCCTTAACATAAGGATCCTACGTTTTAGGCTAGGGTGCTATATTAGGGTTCCCTATGTACGGAAGCTCCCATTTCTCACCTGCTTGATTCAGAAGTGCCTTCGACCGGGTCGTAAAAATCGGTCGGCCTGCAATTCACGTCGATCCTGCAAAGGTTCCCATCACGGTGGCAAGCCCGCCTTCACCCTAGTATAAGGGCCTTAGTAGATAGAATAGGGTTCCTCTTGAAGGGGGCTTACAAGGGTTACTATAAGGGATATTATGAGGGTACCATAATGTAGGGGCCTTAATGGCTAGAACAGGGTTTGGGTCGTAGTGATAATGAGGAGCCCAAGATCGTATCTTAGTAGCTGAGTGCATACACTTTACACTTTTTGGCATAAATGTATAAAACCATTGGGGCTTGTGAACTCAGCAGCTAAGGTATTGGTAATCCTCAAACTGCGCTAATTATTGTGGCGCGACATTAGCCATGCCCTGCTCCAGCTAGCACGGCCCCTACTTTGGGGGGCCTAAATAATTGCCCATACTCTTTCGGGGGTTCCTTATAACTATAGTATAATGAGCACCAAATCCCGATTCTAATCATTTAGGCCCCTATATTTGATGGCGAAGTAGAACCAGCAGTGGAGTAGGTAGCCTTCAACCTTTTGGGAATACTGTACCCTATAAGTTTTACTATAGTCTCTTCAGGAATTACTGATTATTTTTGTTCATATAAAATTCAAGAGAATATTGAACATGTCATGTTCATTACTTCTACGGGGGGACGGGGGGTATAGTCTAGAAGCCCCCAGAGACTAAACATGAGAATACCGGACAAGCAAGTGTCAGGGTTCAGGATGCATTGAAGATTGAGGCTTTAGACTTAGGATTCGCTGCTACTACTACTACTACTACTACTACTGCTGCTGCTGCTGCTGCTGCTACTACTACCACTACCACTGCCACTTCCACTACTACAACTACTACTACAACTACTACTACTACTACTACTACTACTACTACTACTACTTCTGCTGCTGCTGCTGGTACTACTACTGCTGCTCCCAATCATACTGCTACCGCTACTGCTTCTACGCCGCATTCTACTCCCACTCCTACTTGAGGTTCAGACTTTTGGACAGAAACCGAGGTTTCTCGCTGCTCGCTCCTTGCGTGCGTTTGGGGCTCTATTGTAACGACGCCGGCAACAAGAGGCTTGCTTTATGTGAGCTGTTGTCTAAGTTGGGGATAAGAGAGTCCCCTAAACCCTAAACCGTCTCTCAAACTTTTAATCCTAAACCCTAAACCCTAAACCCTAACCCTAAACCGTCTCTCTAACTTTTCCGGTATTGTGACAACAGGGTTGGTCAGGGCCCCTCATGCCCACGAGATCTGTTCCGAGGCCTTCTTCGTAGATGAGCTTCCCCGTACCTTAGCTCATAGGAGGCCAAAAGGAGGGACCCTTAAGGGATCTATAGGGGGTTCCTTTAAGGGATCTATGGGGTTTAGGGTTTAGGGGTGCTTTGTCATAGGAGGCCAAAAGGGGTTTTAGCCTATGGGGGTTTAGTAGGGATTAGGGTTCCCATAACAAGGTTCACATTAAGGAATCCCTATCCCAAGAATCTTAAACCCCCCTTTAAATTTTGGCCTCCCATCACCTAACCCATAAAAGTCTCCCCCGACCGCATATCCCACACGCTGTTACGACCAAGACGCCAAGAAACCCTAAACCCTATAGCCCTAAACGCTAAAAAGCCCTAAAAGCCCCTAAACCCTAAACCCTAAAAACCCCTAAGAACCCCTAAACCCTAAAAGACCCTTTAAAAATCCCTAACCCCTCTAAACCCCCCAAACCGTCCTTGTTGGTGCCAGCGACATTTTATCAGCTCAAGGCTGATCCGAGCCTCTGTCGCCGAACTCTGAAATTCTTGCTCTTGGGACAGTCCCTCGGGCCAGAAACCCAAATCTGCGCCAACATCTAGGCATACAAAGGGTTAAGGGTTTAGATAAAAGTCTGGTATAGGTTCTTGATTGTTTCCCCCATGTGTTTCCCGATAAGTTTCATTCGGGGGTCCAGTGCAAGCATTTCACGTTTGAGCAAAATGAAGCTTAGTTTGACAAGTCATGTCTTCACTGTACTATAGGGGCCTAAACAATTACGAATACTAGCTTGGGAATTCCCTACTAAAATTATAGTATAATGGGCCCCAAAACCCAATTTTAATTATTTGAGTCCTACATTAGGCACCCAGATTTTGCAGCAAACGTCCGGTGGAATTCCCGCCGATCTATCGGCATGGGCACCCTGGCTGCATGCGAGCCCCCTGAACCCTAAACTCATAGGGACCCTTCGTACGAAGGGGCAGGGGGAGTAGAGGGCCTTAATGCCCATAATAAGGGCCTGATAATAGTCCCCTACCCCCCTAAGGGTCCCTGTGATAAACACTGCGGTTGTCTCCAGAAGCTTCCAGAAGCCTCGGCGACGTAGAAAGTGATGTTTCCGTCGTTCCCCTCAGAGGGCATGTGTCAATATTTAAAACCCTGTGAAAAGCCGCACCACGCGCTTACGAAAAGATGCAAAAGCTCATGAATTCGAAACTGCGCTTGTAAGATCTTGTAAGTAACCCTAGGGATCAGAATAGCCCAAAAGCCTTAATACATGAGTCCTTGGATCCCTAGGGTAAAACCCTGCAAAGCCCTCACTGCGACCCTCAGGGGTCTAGTCCACCCCCTCTTCCTAAACCCTGAGCCCAAAAACATTATCCCTAAATCCCAAAACCCTGAGGCTCCTAAGAGGGTCATGGGATGTCTGGAGGAGGGTTTGGGCTTTGGGGGCTAAGGTTTGGGATCTCGCTACGAGGGTCAGTAGGGATAAAGCTAACTCCCAATTCCGCCATGGGCGCCCTGCAAAGTCACAGCCGGGGCCTCTCATTTTATACTGCGATCAGTAGCTCAAAAGTGCGCAGTATCGTGACCATTACCATTGGGGTTTAGAACTTAGGGATGTTGATGGTTTGGGGATGACCATTACCAGTAACACTAGCATTACTACTACGACTACCACGACTACGACTGCTACTGCTACTACTACTACTACCACCACCACCACCACAACCACCACGACGACTACTACTACCACTGCTGCTACTACTACCAGTGCTGTTGCCCGCAGACAGGTATACGGTATACTGGTTGTGATGGGTATCACCAAGCATCATCTCCATCATCCTTATCATTACAGGTAAATATTGCACTCTTGTTATTCTTGGTTACTATAACTTCTAGTGTTCCCAATGGGTTCGGGAATCTAGATACTTGGTTCGCGTCTGGGTCGTCTTATTGAAGTGTCTTGAACAGAAATGCGAGTTGAGGTCGCAGTTGTTTGGCTGGGTGGCGGGCGTTTTGGGGAATGGCGGGGGAAGGAGATTCCACTATCTGTCACATCCAAAAGTAGCAGGGGTATATATCCACCCTAAGCCCCAAACCCTAAACCGCGGGCCCCCAACCCTTAAGCATCGCACCCTAAACCCGGCCCCAAAACACGAAACCCAAGCCCTTATTGGAACTCTGATTCGAACTGCATGCCACCTTTTGACTTTAAAGGATACTCTTCAGAAGCTGAAATCCAGGAAACCTCTCCTCCTCGGAGACCAATGGTATCGAGGCATTCAGAGCATGGGCTGTCAGGGTGTAAGGGCTGCTTTGGGAGGTGAAAGTGTTCCTTTAAATTCAAGTCGAGAGGTTTAGAGCTGAACGGATTTGGGGGTTTTGGCCTTTAGGGCTTCTTTTTGAGAGCTCCTTTTCATTTAAGCAAGGTTCTCGGGTTTCTGTTTTTTTTTGATTTTGGTTTCTGGTCAGGGTCGGCTTTAGGGCTTCTTTTTGAGAGCTCCTTGTTTAAGGTTCTCGGGTTTCGGGTTGGGGGTGTTGATGTTGGTTTCTGGTAAGGGTCTTTGGGTCTGGGGTGGACCCTAGACCCAAAAACCCTAAAGCCCCAAAAGTTTTAGGGTTTAGGGTTTAGGTTTTAGGCTAAAGCCCTAAAGCTCTAGGGTTTGGGGTTTCGAGATTGGGCTTTGAGGCCGAAGCTTAGGCCAAAGACATCTGGGGTTCCTCGATCCCCAATACCCAACCTTTAAGCTTTCTGGTTTCTTTGAGTTTGGTAGGAATCGGAATTATATATAGTATACTATACTTTAGGATCTTCAGGGTTTTGTTTTTAGGGTGTTGTGGGATTGGGATGTTAAGGGTGTTCTGAGATTTGAGGTTTAGGAGCTTTAGGATTCTTGGTTTAGTGCAGCCCTCAAACCCAAGCTTCGACTGACAAAGTCTGCAACCAACACACTTGTTCTTGTTTGCTGAATGGCACAAAGGTCTGAAGGACTAGTGATGGCTTCGCTCATAATGTAGGAACCTGATTAAGATACCCTGGGCCTATAACCCCAAAATAGTAGGATTCATGCAAGGAACCCCAATAAAAGCCTAAGGTTTTCTTAATCAGGTTCCTACATTAGCCCCTCTAAGCCTGTTCTACCGATTCAACCTTCAGCTTAAAGCTTCCCAGACCCTCCAAAATCCCTCTGTTGAGGAATGTATACTTGGAGGCCCAGGAGACTTAGTAAGTAGGTTATAAGTAGGGTTTTAATTGGGGTGACTCCATCTAGGGTACTTATAACCCTACTTATAACCTACTTACTAAGTCCCCTGGGCCTCTAAGTAGGGTGTTCTAGATTACTGAGAGGACTGTCGCGAGGTAGCGCTTCTGAAAGTCTTACACGGTGTTGAGGGAATCTTCAAGGTGTGATGTCCAGGTTTGTGGCGCTTAAAGGAATTTGGAGCTCAGTTATTTTTATATATATATATACACATATATATATGTGGTATAGTGTTTGACGTATGTTCTTATCTTTGTTTCTGCTACTTCCACATGTAGTGCTAGAGTCCTTGTATTCTATCTCAGACGAAGTGTAGACCCGGAGGTATGTTCTTTGCTTCAGGTGTTTTTGAACCTTCGGGTGACACCTCGGAGGAAGGATCGACCCGAAGTCCTTGACGGCACTAGACCTTTCCTGGACAAGAATGACACTTAAAGTGGGGGCCCTACCCGGGCCCCAAAAGTATGTAGAACAATAGCCCTTTATAGGTTTTGGGCCATAGTTTTACGGGGGTTTAGGTAGGCCCTTACACTATGAAACCCTATATGATGCCTGCCCCTTTTGGAGTACCTATAATGTATGGGCCTCAAGTAGACTAGGGCTGCGGCCTACTTTGACAGAAGCTGCAAGTGGATAGTTCTACGGAGCTGCCAGAAAACACTGTAAGAGCAGTTCTTTCCAACAGCAGAAGACCCTTAGCAACCCTCTAAAAAAGTCCTGTGAAACCCTTAGAATGCTTCTTCTTACGATCCCTTGCAGTCTTGACTAGCTGGGTGGTTGTCTAAGCTAGGGCCTCGCTGGGTTCAAAAGGTGCCGTATTAAGAGTAGAGATATATAGGAACCCTAATCCACCGTAAACCCGAAGCCCTAAACCGTAAACCCTGAACCCGGGTTCCCCCAAGGGGCCATGACTTTGAGAGTTACCCAGCTTCGTGCAGGAGGAGCTGTGCCTGGGAGACTTCGGCAAGCGATATACCCTAGGCCGCGGCGTCCATATGGGAGTTTCCGAAAATAGGGGACCCTAATACTGTACCCTAAATAGTAGGATCCTTATTATAAGGACCCCAAAGGAAGGTACCCCTAATTTTCGGAAACTCCCATATAGGGTTCAGCAGGGGTAGGATTTTGGAAACCCTAAGCCCCTAAACGCAAAACCAGCGCGGAGGGGAAGGATCTTGGATTCAGGGTCATCGGGATAGCTTCTTCTGGGGCTTTTGGGGTGTTGTAGGCAGAGGGTTCGAGAGTTGTAATATAGGGGCCATAATAATTAGTTACCTATACTATTTTGGGGGTTCCTGATTATACTTACAGTATCATGTACCCCAACACCCTAGTCTAACTATTAAGGCCCTTATCTTAGCTCTTTGGTTTAGCATTTAGAACGCAAGGTTCAGCTTTTTGGGTTTAGGGTTCTGGGCTCCGAAGTGCTACACCCTAAAGCCTAAACCCGTGTTTTTTAATGTTTCCTCTGATCCCTAGAGGAATCTTTGTCGTCCCAAAGTTTGTATCGTTTTCTCCCTGATGGTTCAAGCATCGCTCTACTACCTGTGGACGGTTTGCAACAAGGAATTGGAACCGCTAAGAAAAATTAAACATCACCCAACAATGTAAAGAGATTAGAAACATCACCCAACAATGTAAAGAGATTATAAAGCTAGCCAAGAGCCCTAAGCACCAGGAAGGGTGACACCGACCCGAAGCCCTTGCTTAAATCTGGGGGCTTAGCGTGGAGAGGTTTGGGCCCTTAGGTGTTCGGACCAACGTCTGGACTCTTGGGTATTGCCCCCACTCAGTAACTTAACAGTTGGATAATATTCATAATCTAGAGATATAAGGACCTCAACAGTAGCCCTACTACAGACTGTTACTGTACGGGGGCCGTACCCAAGTCTGGACTCTAGGGTAAGGACGGTGTTTCAGGTCCACAATGGACAAACTAACTAGAAGAAGCCTGGAGCTTCAAAAACCCTGAAACCCAGAAGACGGCCCAAATTCCCTAAACCCCGGAACTACAGCCTTAAACCCCTAAGCCCCTAAACCTCTCAAGTCCTAAGCCCCACAACTCCCGAAAGCAGGCAAGCAGATTGGGAAAGGCTCGCAGGTCTGCCCCGTGGAACGAGGGGAAGATTTGGTACTTTCCAGAAGGGGGGGTACTGCGCGGGCGTGGGGTCTAGGGGCTTAGGTTTTGGGTTGGGGTTTAGGGTTTAGGGTTTAGGGTCTGAGGCCTAGCAATTTCGTGTTTCGGGGCTAATGTCTATGTATTCACTCTCAGCACGACTCTTAGGCTCCTCTATAGTGACGATCAGGATGACTCTAAGAGTTACCTGAGAAGCTAGTCATAGGGCTACCAGTTAGTATCCTTATATGGTACCTGTTTGGCTTTTGCTGAGGGAGGCACATCTTCACAACCGCCATGTTCCTAGATTCCGTCTTCACAACCCTAAACCCTAAACCCTAAACCCAAAACCCTAAACCCGAACGCCCTAACCGCACTCAAAAGCCTACCTCAGAATAGACGCCGCTGGACTTCCGTCAAGAAAAGCAACAACCAGAAGAGCGATGAGACGGGCGCGAGATCACCACCATTGAGACTACCATTATTACTATTGTTACTATTATTACTATTATTATTACGATGATTATTATTATTACCATTATTATTATTATTTCTATTATTACCATTATTACTACTGAGCAAGAGGAGACCGCTCATCGTCGACAGCAGCGGAGACAAGAAATCTTTTCACCCAGTACAATGACGCAAGTGTCGACTATGACTGAACATGACGAACAAGAGCAAGTCTGAGACGGGCTACAGGGAAACCTAGGATTTGGGGGTCTTGCCCTCACCATCTCCAGCATGTAAGTGCTGGGCCGGGGGCGGGGAGTGGGGGGAGAGTGCAACATAGAGGCATGAATACTTCTTATAGTTATTTTGGACTTCCTATTAGATTTCGCAGTACAGAGTTAGTGGGAACACCAGGGTGGAGTTTTCAGAATTGGGACCCCGAGCCTTGAGAGTTGGAACCTGTACATGAGGATGGCTTAGAAGCTGCCCCCCACCCTGTAGAAGTGACTATCAGGACTGTAATACCACTATTACAGGGTGGGGGCCCCTTCTAAAGGATGGTGTCGTTGTTTAGGGTGTCTGGTCTTGCCAGTGTGAGAACGAGCAGCAGAGCAACATGAGCTGGTGCTCGTAGCCGATTATCGTCAGCATAAGTTTGCCTTCCGAGATCATGAAGGAATATTCCTTAAATCATATTAGGGATCCTACTATAATTTAAGGATATTCCTTAATTAAAGGATATTGGAGTCTCTGGGAAGTGACCTTTGCGCCGAAAAACCTTACACCTATGTACTACAGGCCTCCTACCGAAGCTAAGCCGCGATTCCGAAACCGTGTGTTTAAACCAAACTCTACCTGGACCCTAAAGAACCTACCTTTTTAGGGTTCCCTAATATGATTTCTTTACATATATATATATATATATATATATATAAGTCCTGAAAAAAGGTAAGTTACTTGGGATTCAGGTGAACATTAAATACCCCAGACTCTAGGCATCAGATCCCAGTCGTACTCTTGTGCCCTTTGTCGTTTCTGGGTTCCCCTATTAAGCCACATAGCAGGACAAAGGGTACCCCATTATTCAGGGGGCTACTGGAGTCGGAAACCGTACTTCGGTTGATGATATGCATCCCGAATTACCCATAATAAGCTATATAGTATAGGGGCCTTAATAAGTGCCTATACTATTTTTTGTGGGGGTCCCATATACACTATAGTATCATATACCCCAAAACCCTATTCTGATTAGTAAGGCCCCTATAGTACCATGATTCCCATAGTCTAGGGTCCTTAAAGTAATGCAGGATTTATACCCCCAAGGGCCCTAGGTGCTGTTATGGGGAATACTTCCCCAAATCAGAATAGTAATTCCTAATATAGAAACCCTACATTCTACTGTACGGGTATTTTGGACCCTTTGGGTACTTTCAACCGTTCGAGCACCGACAGGGGGTGGTGCATGTCTGCCATGACCGCGAGAGTGGCGCCTGCAAAGCTGTCAAAGCGCCCGTCTCAGCAGAAAGCTTTGGAGCTTGCTTACGGTTTAGGATTTAGGGTTTACGGTTCAGGGTTTAGGGTTTTGGGAATTGAGGATTTGGGGGTTGAGGGTTTAGGGGCCTTAAAGCCCTGAGCCCTGAAGACCCCTGGGTCCTAAGAAACCATACTTGGAGGTTCATGGGTAGTTATAAGTAGGCTTACATTTTTAAGTAGCTATACTTATAACCCATATTAGGGGACGTAGAACCCCACTTATAACTACCCCTGAACCTCCAAGTAAGGTTTGAGCCCTAAACCCTAAACCCTAAAATCCTAAAACCCTAAACCCTAAATCCCTAAACCCTAAACCCTAAAATCCTAAAACCCTAAACCCTAAACCCCTAAACCCTAAACCATAAACCCTTTTTGGTTTCGACCTCGCAGGCTCCCCACTGCTACTGTTGATGATATAAATCCTGGGGTTGCATTAAGACGGATCTATAAGGGGTACCTTTAAGGGATTCCTTTAAGGGTTGTGTAGGGTTTTAGGGTTTGGGGTTTAGGGATATAAATCCTGCATTACCCACAAGAAGGGATATACCAATATGGGAGTTTCCGAAAATCAGGGGTACCTTATTTTGGGTCTTTATAGAAAGGATCCTACTATTTGGCGTACTGTATTAGCGTCCCCTCTTTTCGGAAACTCCCGTTGGAATTTCCTTAGTTTAGGTCCTTAAGTTAATGCAAGATTTACAACATCAATCCCTAAACCCTAAACCCTAAACCCTAACATCAACCATAAGGATGGTTGCCACTCTTTCTTTTGGGGTTGACGTTGTATCATCAGAAGGGGAGGTAAGGTACTAACGATGTTTTTGCTCTTTGTTTTGGGTTCCCTCTGTCATGTATGAAAACCATTAGGGTGTAATTTCTTTTGGGGTTTGCCTTGTAAGTCAGGGTTTAGGGACCCTTGTTGCTCTGCTGAAGGATCTTCAGCAGTGTTTTTTACTCTTGCGGTTTCTGGGCCCCGTTACAAGGCAACTAAACCAACACAGCATATGCTTTTCCCCAGTGGGTTACAGAACATCCTCGTGTGGCTTCCCTTCTAATGTCATAAGCACTCGATGAACACCGGAACTGCGAAGCACCCTCTGGCATGCTAGAGAATTTGACGGAGAAGGGCCTCACATGCCAGTCTTGAGCATGGAAGTCTTTCCTGCTGCATGTATGGACACGCAGTCCAGAGATCCGAATACGTAATAGTCTGCTATCCCACCCTACTCTAATCATTAAGGGGGTCCCGGTTCTACCCGGTTCTACCAAAAAAGTGCTACTAAGCCTTATTCTACTGATGGAGGCCTCTACATATCACTGAGAAACCTGGTTTCAGCCTCCCATATTAAGACCCTAACCCCTAAACCCTAAAAACCCAAACCCCTAACGCAAACCCCTAAACCCCTAAACCCTAAACTCTCATAACCTAAACCCTAACCCCTGCAACCCCTAAACCCCTAACCCCTAAACCCCCAAACCCCCAAACCCCTAAACCCCGAAACTCCCGCAATCCTAAACCTCCAAACCCTTAAACCCCTAAACCCCTAAACCCTAAACCCCTAAACCCTAAACCCGTAAACCCCTAACCCCTAAAGCCCTAAACCCCCGCAATCCTAAACCCCTAACCCCCTAACCCCCTGAACCCTAAACCGGCCCAGATGCTCGATCGGCGGAATAAAACCGCTTGGGCCACCTATCGCCGGGAGGCCTCGGGCCTCCCTGGGGTTCCATCGGGGAAGGGTTTAGGGGTGTAGGGGTTTAGGGGTGTAGGGGTTTAGGGTTTAGGGGTTTAGGGTTTTTTAAGGGTTTAGGGTTTTTTAGGGTTTAGGGTTTTAGGGTTTAGGGGTTTAGGGTTTAGGGTTCTATCCGGGTAGTTCTCTAAATTAGGGTCCCCTTTAGGGTCCTTTTTTTCTCAAAGGCTGCCGTATTCTTTTGGTGACCTAAAAAGGGACCCTAATTCAGAGAACCACCCATCGAGTTTCGAGGGTTCTATAGGGCGTTCCATAGGGCTCTTCAGGCTCTTGGCTTTAGGGTTCGGCTTTGTAGGCTCTGTTCGCTAAATTAGGGTCCGAAAGGGTGACTTACAGGGTGCATTCATAGGGTTTAGGGTTTTTTACGGTTTCGGGGTTTGGGGTTTTAGGGTTTGAGGGTTTAGGATTCTTGCTGGTCAATCGCAATGTGCCGGCAGGGCAGCTGGATTCCATCCGTCGTAAGCTGCTTGCACGCTACGTTCGAGTTTGCTGCCACACTTACTACTTACCCAGGTGAACTCCCAGGGCTATGGTATACAGAGCGGGTTATACAACATCCATCAACATCCCATACCATGTCTGTCTCAGGTAGGGAAGGGGAGGCCACTTTCCGGGTCGTTATTGCAGACAAGCACCTGCAATTGGCCCAATTTGCCACACGTACTCAGTTTGGCAGGTCCTTAGACACACTGCTTGCCACTTCCCCTACGTTGCATGACGTGCCGTTTGTGATGGAGGAGATTGAGACAGTTGGCAGGGCTTGCGCCTTTGTCTGAGAAGTAGGTGCGGATCTTCTCCCTTCCCAAAAGCTCCCCGGACTGGATGGTTACCGACTGACCACGTCGAAACCATGGTCGCCTTAGGAATTATTCTGTATTTTTGTTCATATAAACGCCAAGAGAATATTATATTAAAACATATATGCTTAATATGGTTCTAAGGGGGGTGGAGAAAAAGCATTCCGGTCCTCGGCTCTGCAGCTATTGGATACTCCAAGAGAACAGACGAAGCTGGCACCTGGAAGAATTTCTGCACTAGCATCCCCAGTTTGTCCAGGGGAGCTGTTTCGGAGGAACATAGGTTGGAGCATATTTGCACACCCTAGAGCTTAAACTAAACCCTAGTCGAGGTCCGTATGATCCTTAATCACGAGCCCCTGCTATAGGTAGGCCGGCACTAGCTAGCTAGGTAGGTAGTACAGTAGGAAGGAAGGAAGGAAGGAAGGTAGGTATGTAGGTCGGTGATCAGGTTGGTACGTGGTAGATAGATAGACCAACATGGGGGCTGGGGCATAGCCGGCAGCACTCTGCCTGCCCGGGTTGCGCGCTTGCAACGTCAAGTAGCGCCCAAACCCTTCATACGAGCATGATTTTGGCGCTTGAGTACAGACAACCGAAGGTTTTGTGATAGATACACAGACAGATAGGTGGACAGATAGATGGATAGATAGACGTACTTGAGAGGTGTTGTTGTTATGTCAATGCTCCCTAGCACAGATCCTTATAGTGCCCTGCAAAGGGGACCCTATCATAGAACCCTATATGGGAGTTTCCGAAAATAGGGCACCCTCGTCTAGTACCCCAAGTAGTAGGATCCTTATTATAAGGACCCCCAAGTAAGGTAGCCCTAATTTTCGGAAACTCCTTTAAACCCTAAACCCTATAGGTCCCGTATAGGATCCCTTAAAGGAGCCCGTAAAGATCCCTTTACAGGTACCCCTGATGTTCGGAAACTATTAAGGCCCCTATATAAAAGTATCCTTATTATAGATCCCTTATAGTAGCCCTTATAGACCCCTCTAAAGGAAGCCGAAACTCCCATATTATACTAGCCTTATAGATCCCTTATAGTAGCCCTTATAGACCCCTTTAAAGGAAGCCCTCTTCTAATTATTACTAAGGCCCCTATATTAACACCCTAAATATAAATAGTACCCTTATAGATCCCTTATAGATCCCCTATAGTAGCCCTTCTAGACCCCTAAAAAGGAATCCCCCAGAAGTAGGGGCGAAAACGTTCCCCGGGCAGAGGTCGAGCTGTCCCAGGCGACGACCGGCCGCAACATCGCAAGCATCCTTGAGGCCGGGGGCTGGGCCTTTATTAGGGCTCCCTTGTAGGGGCCTATAATTGTAAGGGGTCTAGAAGGGTACTACAATAATTAGGGTTCCCTTAAAGGGGTCTATAAGGGTTACTATAAGGGGTCCAGTTTTTTTTTTTTTTTTTTTTTTTTGGGGGGGGGTTTATAGGTTGCGGGTTCGGGGTTTAAGATTTAGGGTTCAGGGTTTAGGATTTAGAGTTTAGGGTTCAGGGTTTAGGATTTAGGGTTTAGGATTTAAGGTTGCAGGATTTGAGGGTTCGGGCTTTTGTCGGGCTTTTGGCTTTAGGGGTTGGGCTTCTTCGGGTTTGCTTCGGGTTCACGGCTGAAGTTGATGTAGAAGCTCCTCTTCTTTCAAGGTCTTTTGAGGGCAATAAGGGTGTAGGGAGTTGATTTCTAGACCTTCACGTAGTACTCTTCCCTTTGTTGGGCGGCCGTCTCCTTCGAAGTGAATGAGAGGAAACTGGGGTTCTGACTCTTTCGAGGTAATTGAGTGGGGAGCCTGTGAACCTGAAGCTTTCGGATACAACCCTTAACCGTAGCGGTTTAGGGTTTAGGGTTTAGGGTAGACCCTTAACTAGAAGTCCTTAAACAAAAAAGCCCTACACTTCCCCAAGCCCTACACTTCAGAAGGCAAGTCTTTGAACGACTTAATCTGGATCTGAGACCTCTAACTCAGTGCCCGCAAGCCCCGATCTTCCAGAAGTGCTTTCGCAGCAAGCTCTTTTCGGGCAGGGTTTAGGGTCGGTGCTAGGCTATCAGAGGTCATCAATCTGGCTCTTGAAGGGTGATCATGTAGGGCTGTACGGTATTCTCCACTTTACCTACATAGAGATTATTGCTAACACCATCTTACACCCTTCACCCAGGGCTTGCGCTGAAAGGGTCTCACTCACCAGAGTTCACTACTCGAGACCTTCCTGCTTGTAAAGGGCTTCGACTCGGGTTTAGGGCTCTTTAAAGGGGGGCTTAAGGGATCTATAAGGAGTTAGGGGTGAGGGCTTTAGGACTTTAGGGTGTTAGGGTTTTAAGATACATCCTGCAAAGCTCGTGAGATCGGCCGCAGATATCACAACACTGTCAGACTGTGATATGAAAACATATATGAGAAGTGACGAACTCCCCAAGGCTCCTCAAAGCCTAAACTCTCAAAGGTCCTAATGCCGAAATGCCTGAAGCCGAAGCCCTGGAAATGGATGGTTGTCAATATTAGGGTGCCTTTGTGGGTCCCTATTATAATACGGCACCTACTATTTAGGGTACCCAAAAAGGGACCCTAATTTTGACAACTACCCAAATGTAGGAGTTTGTCGATGCCGACCGCTGCTACGTTATCATGGAGAAGTTCGAGGCCCCCTTGGGTTCCTTGGGGTCGACTCTGGGGGGTTTTCAAGTTTAGGGCTTGGGCTTTAGGGTTTGGGGTTCGCTCGATCCCCAGGGTTCTCCCGTGGAGAACCCTCTGCAGGAACAGCTCAGGGACTGATTTGCGCTGTTGTTTGGGATGGGGGGTGGGGGGGATGTTGACGATCCTTGGCAGAGCATCCATTTTACTCAGCTGCACCAGGGTGGCTTGTTGAAAGCTTCGCTCGGTGCCACGACTCCCGACACTTTGCATCTTGCATGACATTTAATGATTATTAATGTGCTTGTATAGTATTCCAACGTGTTGTACTGGTATACTATACTTGTGGCCCCCGTTTGTTGGAATGACTGAAAGGTTCCACACGGGTTTGTCACAGCTTACTCACAGGTTTCTCAAAGGCTTCGCATAGGTTTTTCACACCTGTGTAACAAGTCTCTTACAGGTTCCTCACAGGTTTCTTCACTGGTTGTTCATATGTTTCTCACAGGTTGCTCACAGCACCGAAAAAAGAACAACAATGGAGGCTGTAGGTTGTTCTAAACTGTTTTTATCTTACCAAGCAAGAAAACCCTGACTCCCAGAACTCCGCTAAGCCGGCGAACGCACGATTACATCGTAAACACCACTGTTTTTAGATGCTAGACACGAAATACACACGTTTCGCACTACGAAACACATGTCCGACGCAACATAGATGCTCCCTGATGTGGCGAAAACGTGGGTTTTGGCTACATTTACGACACCAAAGCTAGCTCTCAAACCCTACAATGTCCAAACGCTTTACGCAATTTTCTTGAAAAAATGCGTAAACAGAGCGTGCTATGCCAAGACTTACATCCCTTATGCAACAAAAGAAAAAACGTGGAATTCGTGCCTTCCAACATATGCAGAAACAACTGACCCCGTTAGTGTCCGGAGAACCTCGGGGATTGCGCGTTGGGGTTATTGTTTTGGGTCTAGGGGTTTAGGGCTTGGGGTGTTGGGTTTGGGTTTACTTTTTGGGGTTTTGGGTTTGGGAATTAGGGTTTGGGGTTTCGGGTTTTGGGTTCAACATCTCGGAGGGAGGCTGCGCATTAGGGGTTTTCGAGTGGCAGAAGACACGGGATACCCGTCAGACAACCCCAAAGTAAGCGATGTAGAATGCTAAGTTTGAAAATCGGACCTCAAGAATGTTTAAGATGAGGTCGGTTGTCAAGCCCTCTGTGAATCCCTATGAACAAACTTACGATATAGAAAACCATGTCGAGCCCATATAAAACGATGGAAGAAGCTTCAAAGTCACCGACAATCCTGCACCGCCCCATCAACCCCTAACCTGATTAAGAAACCTTAGGCCTTTATTAGGGTTCTGTACAGTCTTTATTAGGGTTCCGTATATACATGAACCCTACTATTTTGGAGCTATAGGTCCAGGGTTTCGTAATCAGGTTCTTACATTAAGGCTTGGCTAGAAGGTCGAGGCTAGTTCTGTGCTCAGACTCAGACATTCGGGACTTGGGGTTCTGGGTTTCAGGGATTTGGAATTGAGGATTTACAGATTCAGGTTGATATTACGGACACCGTGCACACCCACTGCTGCACCCCCAAGCTTCCCGAGCTGGATGTGAAGCACAGAGAATACTTAGGGGTACTTCGAAATAGTTTTTGGTTTTTTGTTAGTATAATCCCTAAGAAACAGTTAAAGTTAAAAATATTTGCTAGGGTTCTAAGTTCAGTACAGGATACTTTTTATGGCTCGGAATACTAAACGAGCGTGTCCCTCTACCGGCCATGCTACCCCAAAGCCCTAGTCTGGCAATGGAAATCATAGAACCCCTAGAGTAGAAGCCTCATAGTACCCTGATGGAACTGAAAAGGGGGTTCGTTTACAGGTTCCTTTAAGGGTTCGTTTAGACATTAGGGGTTCCTTTGAGGGCCTTTCAGAAAGGAGCCCCAGTCTGCGAATCAAGGCCCCCCCCCCCCCCACGAGGAATCCGCAACTAGCGAATTCCACGGGTCTGGGGTTTAGGGTTTAGGGTTCAGGTTTAGGACACTCAAGGGGTCGAGGGTTTGGGGTTTAGGGTAGTACAGAGGTCTGTTGGCTTACGCCGCCTCAGGTCTTTTGGCTTCTGGAGGTCTCTTGAGGTTGGCGTTTGCTAGGTTCACTCCTTTATGTACATATGCATGCCGCATCGTGCTGAATAACAATGAATGCGCCTTGTATTAACTTATCGTCACGAACTACACTTCCTGCACCCCAAACGCTAGTTTTAACATGACGTTCCTTATGCCCAAAGGGTCCTAAGTACCTACAGTGCAAAATAGAAAGTAGGGGTTTCGAAAGATACGGTTACTATGATATGAAAACCCGACAACCCTTCGCGCAAACTCACTCCCCCTGAGCGCCCTAAACCTTGCACCTTAGACCCTAAGCCCATAACCTTAAAAACCCTAAACCCAAAGCGTGAATCAGACCTTCAACTTAAACCCCCAAACCTGAAACCCCTAAACCCCCAACCCCTAAAACCCCTCAACCTCTAAAACTCTAAGCCCTAAACCGTACACAGCTCCTCTGTAACCTGCAGGGGCACCTGCGACGTGCTCTGAAGTGGGTCCTCAAGGAAAGTGGCGTTGAGGCTTGTGCTGAGGGACTGTGGAGTCGAATATAGGAGCACAAACAATGTACCAGTACTCTTGTCACGGGTCCTTACTATCATAGTTGTAGTATAATACACCCCAAAACCCTATTCCAACGATTAAGGCTTCTATTGAGAAGGGTTCTATTCAAGTTCAAGTCTTGTGGCTTCGTGGCTTTGGGTGTTCTGCGAGTTCTCGATCTAGTCTTCCGGGGTTTCCGGATCTTGAAGTTTCTATTCAACCCCGAACCCTCGACCCTGTGATTAGGGCCACGCTTTCTTGGTTTACGACTTCAGGGCTTTATGATCCTGGGGTGCCAGTTTTGTCTAGGCCGTCCGGACTGGGGCGTAGTGAAGCTGATAGGGGACGTAGAGGCTGCCATTTCAGGGTACCTCCCCAAAGGGTCCCTATGTACTGTTATGGGGAATACTTCCCCGAATCATAATAGTAATTCCTAATCTAGAAACCCTACATTCTACTGTATCGGTACTTTGGACCCTTTGGGCTTAGAGTACCATGTAAGGGTTTTGGGCCCACAGTACGTCGTAGGATGCAGAGCAAACACCACTGTGAGCCTCCCTCTGCTCCCTCAGATTCCTATAGAGCCCTTAACAACCCCTTAGTAGATCCCACATCCCTTAAAGTGTCTTTGTAGAGCCTTTATACTAATACTAATTGAATAAAAATAGTAGTATAGTAATAATACAAATCATAAGAGTAGTATCAATAACTTTAACAATGCTCTTTAACAATAATATTAACATAGTAGCCCTTGAAAAAGCCTGATAGACCCCGTGCAGGCTTCCGGCCTTGACCCCTTCTCCTTGGGAAACGTCGTTCGACAGGCTGCCGTTCCGGAGTCAGTGGTTAGGCTTTAGGGTTCAGGGTGAGGGTTTAGGGGTTTAGGGTTTAGGCCTTCGGGTTTAGGGTCATAGGGACGTTGTAGACATTGACGTAGACGCTCTCCTTTGAATGTTCTTTGCCCGGTGGCTGAGCTGTGCGTGGACTAAGCCCTAAAATCCTTTGACCCGAAGCTCTCAACCCTACGCCAATACCAAAAACACCGAAACATAACCCTGCACGCCACGACCTGACCCTTGAGCCCTGTCCCTACAGTAGGATTCCTTAGTGAAGCACGACAGTATGACTGCGCCAAGCTTAATATAGAACTTGAATTAAAGCTTGTAAGGGTTTGTAAAGGATTTTCTGGGAGTTTAGGAATTTAGGAGTAATGACTGACATCCCTCCTTGGGGCTACTATGGTGTACTTATGCAAGGCCCTAAAGTGGTGGGCTATCTCAGGGTCCAGTTACATATCAGGGTTTCACGGGCGGGGGCTAGGGGGCTAGGGGTTTGAAGTTTCTCGAGCTTGAGGGCTGCACGGTCTATAGAAGACCAGGGGGAAGACACAGGAAGAATCAGGCTTAGGGTTTGGGGACTAGGTGGGTAGGGTCGGAATCAAGGGCGCCATAAGGTTTTGTTCGTGCTGTTTACGGGATTGAGAGCTTATGTGGCTTCCTTGTTAGAGGCTGCTTGAAAAAGAAATGACAGATCAGTCAAGTTTTGTTAATCATGAGTTTCCTATTCGTGGACTAGGGTTTTCGCGACATGCACAACCCTGGGAAGACTAGCAGCACAAGTAAAATACATAACCATCATCATGCTGAGCGATAATTGCAACAAGAATAACGAGCCCGCAACACCACTCTCTTCATCACCACCATCATCATCATATGCTAATCCAGGACTGCGGCAGCAACCGCAGCGCTCAGAACAAGACCAGCAAGAGTACTGTTGGTGTCAACACCCGTGGACAGCAGCACGGGGTGTCATCTTAACCTGAATACTACTAAACGTCTGAACTTTCGAATCCAAACCCTAATGACCTAGATGCCTCCACTGACCCCGAGCACTGAACCTTTCAACCCGACACCTTGAAACGGTTGCCGAGCACATGAGAAGGATAAGCCATCTCTTTTCAAGTCCGAGCACTGAAGACCCAGTGGCAAGCCCTCCGGCGGCGGCGCGGGCACAGCACTGCTCCACACGCAGTTTTTCTTTACAGACATGATAAGGGCGCCGCAAAGCCCAAGGCGATCAATGCAGGCAGCGTCATTGACACGGATCTGGTCATGAGGTGCAAGAGCGAGGCTGACATCCCCTGGAACCTGCCACCAGAAGATCTACTCATGGAGTACTGTCACTTCATCAAAGGCTGTTTTGATGGCGACTTCCTGTTTGACATCCCGTTGTCGCCGGAGCTCCCCGTCATCTATGGCAATTTCCGACAGCCAGCGCAACCATTTGTAGCCGTTAGTGATTTAGAGTTTGCGTTCAGGATTTAGGATTGAGGTTTGATTAGGGCCTGAATCCCCGACGGTTGAGGAAGCAATGGAAGCAACCCTAAATCCCTAAATCAAGCCTACACCCGAAGTACGCCTGGAACCACCCAAAACCCTAGACCCGTATGGAGCCCTTTTCATTGCTACTACTGCTACTACTACTACTACTACTACTGCTACTACTGCTACTGCTACTCCTACTACTACTACTACCACTACTGCTACTACTACTACTACTACTACTGCTACTACTACTCCTACTCCTACTCCTACTACTACTACTACTACTACTACTACTACTACTACTACTACTACTACTGCTACTCCTACTCCAACTCCTACTCCTACTCCTGCTCCTACTACTACTACTACTACTACCACCAGGTTCCTACTAAGTCTACCCAGAAAGGCCCTCAGCGCCATTCTCCATCTCCACACTTGTGGCGTCGTGCATCGGGACGTGAAGGCCAGGTTTCTTTTTTGTAGGGTTCTGGGGCTCTTTGCTTGAGGGTTTTAGATACTAGCGTTCGGGTTTAGGTTCAGGGCTTGGGCTTGAAGGTTTGGGGGTTAAGGTTCGGGGTTCTGCATTTAAGGAGCGATGTAGGGGCTTTACCAAGTAGCATGGGCAGCATGTTTGTTTGTATTTCTGGTCAGTCCTGCGTTATTGTGGGTTTATAGGGTTGCGTACGATGTTATACAGACCAAAAATCAGTTTTCAATCGTACTTTTCAAAACTCAACATCCAGGCGTAGGATGCAGGGCTAGGGTTTCATGGTTTCAGGTCCAGGGTTCAGAGTGACTTGAAGCTACCAAGGTGTATCGTTGAGGTCGAAAAACCCTAAGTAGGCACCAAACCCCTAGTCCCTAAAGCTTAAGCCCGAAGTGCGCTCGTCTCTCGTCCGACATCGTAATGCTCAAGACGTAAGCCGATTCTTCAAGTCTGATAGTTGAACCTTAGGGGTTTAGGGTTTCGGCCAACCTTATGTCCCAATCAATGCACCTTATGGCCAAAACATGCAGAGACCTGGTATTGATCTCTGAGCCCTAAACCCTACGTCGCAACCTTAAGCCTCTAACCGACATATGGATTTCCAAAGTTGGTTACTGTCATGTGCAGTTGACTTGGGCTCAGAGTTTGGGCTCTTGTTCGGGGTTCAGCTTAAACTGCCTGGCCCTAGCTATTACGAGCGAACAGCCTGGCCTTTTGGTAGGAAGACAGAACTACATCAAGGTCAAAGAATTCTACCACAGAACCCTAGCTGTAAAATCCCAGCCAACCTGCTCAATGAAAATCACCCAAGAAACCACTCATTACGCTCCTCCTCCTCACACTCATGCTTTCACTTCTCTACATTCGTTTCATTATAATGCGAAGGGAACGTAGTGAGTGTTATCTTGTTTAATTTACAATGGAATGAGAGACGCGAATGGACGCGTGAAATTCAACAAGAAGCACGAACTAGAGACCGAAACCAGGAATCTACAACTGGTTTTTAGTTACAGAGGTGGTCCATTCTATTTTAGTGATATTTCTACACCTATATTCAAATCATACCCTACAAGTACAGGAATTTAGTTGTAAGGATCTTGGAAGCGCCTGTGTGTTATTTGAAAGGCGGGTGTGTACAAAGGTATGTGTGGTGTTTTCGTATTCGTGTTAGAGGTCCCTTCCAAGATCGCAGAGGGCGTTTAAGGTAGGGACCTTCTTTAACGGGTTCCTCTTCTTACAAGACCCAGGTATGTTTGCCTGCAAGGAAAACACCTGCCCTAAAAATTGGCGCGGAAGCTTTAAAGCCAAAGCCCTAGAGCCTGAAGCCCATGTGCCTTAAATTCGGGTTAAGGGCATAGGGTGACTCTAAGACGTGAACCCCCGAACCTGGGAGAAAGACCCTGGCAGGCGCACAATTTACTTATCGACCGTTTCGACCTCCGCGATCCCAAGCTGGACGCCCAGTCAATAGCAGTCCTGGTACGCAGATATCTAAAAAGTAGATCCGGGACCTATACCACAAAAGTTAATGTACTATTGCAACCCCCTAAAGGAGTCTACCTTGTGAATTCTCCCAGGGTCTGGCTAAGGTTTTGGGGTGTTGGGGTTTAAACTTTACGTAGCATATGGGACTTGCCAAAAATGGCTGACCCAATATAGTACCCTAAATAGTAGGAACCTTATTATAAGGACGCCAACATAAGGTACCCCTAATTTTCGGACACTCCCATATGTTTAAGCAATTATCATAACAACAATCATACGAGATCCTGGGCTCCTCCCCTGACCCCATTCATTCCAATCCCGGTCTTGGGGTCTTCTGAGCCACGCCCAATTTAGTCAAATCTCGCTGATGGATTCGTCCCTGAGCCGGACATTTACCGAAAAACCGCTTTTGTAGCCCTTGCAAGCCCGGACCCCAGTTCAGTGCAATCCTGCTTTTCTAGTAGTACCACTCCTCGTGTCAGGTACTACTACTACTACTACCACTACTGCTACTACTACTACTACTGCTACTACTACGACTACTTAGTAGTAGTAGTACTACTACTACTACCGCCACTACCAGTACTACCACTACTACCACTATTACTACCGTTAGTACTAGTACATTTTCTACTCCTGTTGTTACTGTTAGAAGCACTAGTATTAGTAGGTTCTCTACTATTGCTGCTACTGCTACTAGTATAGTACTCCTGAATGTTATGCTGCCTTGGTTCAAGGAGCTGCCACTATGCCTCCTGTAGGTCTATCGACTCTCATTCCTCACAACTAACTGTATCATTAACACAGTTCAATGTACGAGCACAGTTAGAATTAGGAGCTTTCCTGGCTCGACACTGCGCAGGATCCTGAAGATTTCTGACGCAGGTCTGCTGGGAGGTGGGCTGGTGGCGTCTTGATATTGGCTGATCACTGTGCACCATGGGACTTGATTTCCCTGGCAGTCCTAGCAGCTGGGCTTTGCGTTGAGGGTAGTCTCCGCTCGACTCTACATTCAAAACCGCTCTTGATGATTGGATGGTGGGTGTGGCAGTCACATCAGTGCTGCTCCGCAGCCGTCTTGGTGATAACCAAGACTCACATGTTGCTGCCTTTGTGCAGGGCTAAGTGTGCACTGGTTTGCCGGCCGGGCAGTCCGTATCCTTCAGATTGCGTCCGGGCATGCCGCAGCGAACTCCTTGACCGGTTTCAACTCCTGCATCCAAGTGCTTGCAGTCGCCCTGGCACCCGCGTGTGGAACCCGAGGGGCAGGTCTTGCACGACGTGTTCGTCTCAACGCGGTTCAACTGCTGGCGAGTGCGCCGGATGGCCACTGCCTTGTGCTTAGAGAAGCTCAACATCCCGGCCATCATTGTGTGGACACACGAGCAGGCCATACCGTACACGCGACCGTCATAAACAACGTCAAGGGTTGCGAATTCTTCCTTGTGTGGCTGAGCCAAGGGTACAGCGATGCAGGGGCCAACACCGCCTGTACTGTTGAAGAGGCCAGCTGTTGGACAAACGCCTTGATGCAAAAGGGCTGCCCGAGAGGGCCACCTCAACAAAAGAGGGCCACTCACCACATTTGCTTCAACATGCTGGAGAGCCGAGCATTTTTAGCATCGTGCTTCTGGACCCACTGGCCACTAGTGCCAGGAGACACCGAGCTCCAGGTGCCGCGGCAGGTTGTGGCACATGTGGTTTCAGCCATCAAAGGAGACACGCACCATCCAGCTTGTCGCTCGGTGACGATGCATCAGAGACTCATCTTTCTGATAGGATTTTCCAGTTGCAGTTCGTACCTAGGCATGGATGAGATGTAGCAACACGTCAGACATTTTCCGCAGGACGGGCGAAGAGCTTGTTTGCAGCAGTGCCATTAAACGGAGATTTTTCGTGGTGTGGTCTATCAGGACACGCTCACGCGGCTACACTTCATTCAACGACAACAACAGAAAAAACACAAGCTGTCGGAGTCCTGAGAGGTAGCAGCTTATGTGAGTTTGACACTTGTCAGTATGAGCGGCTGATGCCAATGTTTGCCAACATGAGCTGAGCTCTTACCAGATGGTGACGAGTGGCTGGATGACTCCCGACCCTGCCAAGTTCAATCAGTTCCCGCTCCTGTGCTCCTTCTCCTGCCCAGATTCAATCAAATCCGGGTCGTGTGGGTCTCGCAGTTCCAAGCACTACCCAGTTTAGTCCACTCCCGCTCTTCCGGTCTTCTGGGCTCTTCCCCAAGCATTCACGCTGTCGCAGTCTTCCAAGCTGTGCACACCAGTCTGGCGATTTCCTACTCGCAAGTCCTAGAACGCGGGCGCCGTCACGAGACATACGGCGTTTCTAGACTCTAGAATCTAGAATTCCGGCACATTTCTCAGGTTTGGCCGGAGTTCCTGCGTTGATGAGCTTGTCATCCCTGATACTCTTTACAGTCGAAGACTCTCCACAGCCAGCTAGTCTTTAAGATTCTCGTCTCGCGTACCCCATCGGCGGCGCCTCTGCGCATTCATTCGTTTACAGCGAAGCAGTCGACCTAGTAACAAGCACTTCCAGTAATGGCAATAAGCACAGTAAGAACAATGGTTACTCTCAGGGTGTTGATGATTGCTCACTATGCAAAAGTTCTGAAGTTCGAACTTATGAAACCCTGAAAACCTGAATCCCTGCATGACCTTAAATGAAACTTTCTCATAAACCTAAACCCGAAACCCGAAGCCCGAAACATTTCAGCCCGCAATATTGAAAGCCAAAACCTTTTATTGAGGTTCCCTGCGACATTTCAACTATAACAAACACCAGTACGTTATTCTAATCATTACCAGTGCTATTATTCAAGGTTCTTGTATTGCTCTGTATTAGACGTTACCCAAAAACCACAGTCTACCATTTGCCCACAGTATTGCTTATGGTTGCTTCTTGAAATTGTACAGCAAGATGCCCCAAAACCGCAATTCAATAGTTACCCATATGTATCCTGTAGGGTTCCTTGTTGTTCATACTAATATGTACCCCAAACTTATGAAGGTCCCTATGTTAATACGCAGCCGTGTGAAGCGGACGACGGCTTTCGCAAAGGTGTCGCATCGTCTTAGCAGACTTCGGTCTGGCGAGGCCCAACTCGTTTGCAAGGCTTTGGGTTTAGGAGTTTAGGGTTTAGAAGTTTAGGGTTTAGGGTTTACAAGTTTAGGGTTTAGAAGTTTACGGTTTACTGTTTAGAGGTTTAGGGTTTAGGGTTCAGGAGTTTAGGGTTTAGGATTAGGGTTTAGAGCTTAGGGAGACTCCTCATAATGCGGATATATAAGGCCTTTAGTAGTTTAAGTTTTTGATTCTGGGTTGAGGATTGGGGTTTGGGGCTTCGGGCGTAGGGAGACTAACGATGACATAGATATGAAAGGCCCTGAATAGTAGCCGTATTGTCGACTGCTACTGTATTGGGGGCAGTAGCCAAAGTGTAGGTTTCGCCGTTTACCTGCGTAGAGTGTGTGTTTGTCTTTCCTGCTGAACATGGAGGGGATAGCTTTCGGTCTACCGAGGTTTTACTGGGGAACTGGGGGCTGCGGCTGCGGGTCAACTTCACCCAAAGCCTTCGAAACATTGGAAGCCTCAAACCCTAAGCTTGCAATTCCAACAGCGGAAGCCCCGAAGCTCTAGACATTCGTTTAATTCCTGCGGTGTTCGGGTCCGGGCACCATCAAGCAACGCAGGATTACCGCGAATCAGACTCAGGGAAATCTAAACGTCTGATTCGACGCCCAAACTGTCAAAGCCCAAACCCTCAAACCTGAAGCCCTTAAGCTCAGAAACCTTGCATGGAGGGTTTAAGGAATTTGGGATGTTGGAGCTTATCTGGGGGATCTTATAGTCCTCAAACCATACCCCCCTAAACCCTAATCCCTAGCCTCATAAACGGTATAACACCCTACAAAACCCTTCAAAACCTCATAATATTAAACCCTAGAAAACCCGATATATATATATATATATATATATATATAACACACAGCCCTACAAAACCCTACAGAACCCCTACAAAACCCTGTACAACCCTATAACAACCTTGAAACCTTTCAAATCTTCCAGGCGACTGGAGCCAGGACGCTTCTTGTGTGCGCAGGTGCTACTTGGGTGTTTCGAGATGGGATTGCCTGAAGCCGAGAAGACCTACCCTTTTCGGGAACTATATACCGAAACCATAATAAGGAACCTTTTCGGCTACAGGTGGGCTTGGTTTGACTTCTCCAAAATAGGGGCCTTAATAACTACTGTTTTGGGGGGTTCCTTATCGTAAAATCAGCATAATGGTGATTCGGGGCGGTGGTGTTCTTGGCATGGGCTTGCACCCGGATCATGCCCTTCTCTACTGTTACTGTACTTCCAGCCTGGCCTGGAAGCCTACTAAAGGCCTGCCGTGTGATCGGGCGATCACAGAATCACATACCTTCGGTGATGTGTGTTTGGTGTTGCTTGTTTTTTGCTTGGCATGTTGGTAGTCTGGCTCTTGTGTGCCATGCCCAGTTGTGTGTTTCATGTGGTCAACGCTTAATTCACCTAAAGCCCAAAACCAGGCGCGACAAAGAAGACCAAAACAAAGCCCAAAAGCTAAACCCCAAACCAAACACCACCACGAAGAGCAAGCACCCCAACGGCCCTAGCCCTCTTGGTGGCCAGGTGGGCACGCGCAAGTACTGGGCGCCGGAACTCTATGAAAAGAAGTGACCCAGCCGAATGCCTCCTCATATAGGCTAGGTTCCCCAGTAGCGCCCTTTTGCCCTTTTTCTTTTGGCTTCCCAAATTACAGCCAAACAGTAAGCAAATGTGGGTAGCCTCATAATTAGGCGGACGCTGAGGAACCTAGGGGGGTCTGCATAGCCACCAAAACATGATTAAGAAAGCTTGGGTCTTTATGACGGTTCCTTATAATGGATCCGAAATAACTTGGGGTTCTGGGACCAAGGCTTCTGAATCAGGTTCCTACATTACGGTTCCCTAGGGATCAAAATAGCCCAAAAGCCTTATATAGTATGGTCTTTGGGCCCAAAAGCCTTAATATATGAGTCCTTGGATCCCTAGGGCCCTAGGGGTTTAGGATGATTGGGTCTGAGCCGACTCAGGTCTTCTTAACGACAGCCTGCAGCTGCAATGCTTGGGTTTCAAACTCCTAAGGGTTTAGGGTTTAGAGTTTAGGGTTTGTGGTTTAGGGTTTAGGGTATAGGGCTTAGGGTTAACATCTCGATCCGAAAACCCCTGAACCTTGAGCGTGCAGTCTTTCGACGGGTGACGATACGATCCCACCTCAGGAGCTTGATGTCCTGCTTCGAGTCTCTCACAGATAGCCTCGGTTTGACAAGAATATTTGAATATGGCTATCATAGGGGTCGGAATGAACACCAGGTCGGAATGAGCACCAACACGAGGGTTGGAATCGAGACCGTTGGTCTCGTTGGAACTGGTGGGACGAACCCACCGAACAGAGCCAGCACTGGGACTGGCAGGAAGAAGCCTGGGAGCAGGACCAGGCAGCTTGGTGGCAAGACCAAGCAGAGGCGAGTCCGGACGATCCGTGGCGGGATTGGAACGGACTCGAGGACTGGCACCGCAAACAGGGCGCCAGCAGTGGCGGAGGGGACCGCCGGACCGAAAAGTCGAGAAGCCCCGCTGAAGCGGCACGTGGCAGCCGCGACCCACCGCCCAGCAAGCACAAGGGCAAACAATGGTGGGAACGCAAGGTGGAATACATCCACAAAGACGGTGCTTGGAAGAAGAAAAACACCCGAGGAGTGCGCTCTCTAGCGAAAGAACAGGAGCGCATTCCTTTCGGTTCCGATTGCAATTTACCCCTTCCACACGCCTGAACCGTGAACCCTCAAACCCTACATCGGGAGCTACCTATGTCGAGTCCTCACCCGTGAGGACACCCGCGCTTGCCCACCGAAAGCTGCACCCATAAGCCCTCCTGGGGATTCAGGAGCTTACTGCCTTTGGCGGTTTACACCTTACAATATAAAGGGGTCATACGGTACAATTTTGTAGAGTCTGGGGGTACAGATAAGCTTCGCACCGAAAACTTCAGCTGTCCTAAGCCTTAAACCCGAAATTTGAACGCCAGGCTTCTTCACATGTAAACCTCCACATGCCTGCTTTTGACGATCTGCGAGCCTCAAGCATATCCCCCCAACGACTAGTCCCCAAGCCGAAACCCGAAACTTCCCTAAACACGAATCCCCAAGCTAGGGTCCAGGCACCCTAAACCCTAAACCCGAGCGGCCTAAACCCAACCCCCGATTCCTGAAGTCCCCACAATCCAAAGCCTTAAAAACCCTAAAAAACTCTAGAATCCGAAATCCAAACTCAACCCCCTAAACCCTAAAGTCCCCGCAATCCTAAGCCTTAAAACCCTGAACTCTAGAATCCTAAAAATCCAAAGCAGCTGAACCCTGAAGCCCCAAAGCTAAGCCCTAAGCCCTTAAAGGAACCCTTAAAGGACATCTTAGAGGTTTAAAAGGTTTAGGGTTTTTAAGCCCTTAAAGGAAATCTTAGACGAACCCTTATGAACCCTCCAGCCTTCAAGCCCGAACCTCGAAGCCCCCAAGTCGCCGCGGAGGTATTGGCACGTCGTAGACGTTTTCGCCATTGGAGCCGCTGCCTCCGACGATCGACAAGGGTTTCAATTAGGGCTTCAGGGTGGTTCCTTGAAGGGGTTCCGGTAAAGGGTTCCTTTCAAGGGTCACTACATGGTATAGGGGATAGGGGTTTAGTTTTTTCCATAATGGCTTTAGGGTGGTTCCTCAAAGGGCTCCTTTCACGGGTTACTACAAAGTACGTAGGGGACAGGGGTTTAGTTTAGGGGCGTAGTAGTAGAGTACTGCCTACTTAAACCCATAAAGATTAGAAGTTCAAGGTTCAAAAATTGTCCCAATCATGAACTAGGTTTAGGGTGGCCTCAAATTTGTAGGGTCGAAAAACGAAATCGGTGCAAACCAAATTACAGGTACATCAAGGGGGCATTGCAGAGAACACTGAGCTGTATTTTAGGAGACAATGTATTGAAAAGGGAAACACCATGTTGGAGGCTTCGGGCTCATATTTAGGGCATTGGGTGTCTGCTTTAGGTAGTTCCCAGAGCTCTGTCTAATATAGGGGCCTTGATAATTACCTATACTAGTTTAGGGTTTCCTTACTACCGTTAAGTAGAACATGCCCCGAAACCCTAGTCTCATTATTAAGGCCCCTATAGTATTCCCCTTCGACGGACAACTCGGGGCTCTTTCATCACGAAACCCATTCCAGGACAGGCATTTTGAAAGGGAGCACCTGTCTTAGTACATCTCAAAGCCCTAAAACCTAAACCCTCAACCCTAAACCCTAAAGCCTGCGAGGTCTTGCGCGAAGCAGGCCTTTCGGCCGTAAAGGGGTCAGGTTTCCCTTATGAAAGCCTTACGACCTACCCCGCAGGGAATGACTGGTAAAAGTGTTTCCTTATCTGTATATATATATATATATATATATATATATATACATATATATATATATATATATATATACATATATATATATATATATATATACATATATATATATATATATATACATATATATATGCATATATATAGATAAGTAAAAGTAGGTGATAATTTGGTCTAGAAGTCGCATGTCGAAGAAACCGCTGAGGTCTTGATGTTCCTTGCGCGGAGCTCAGTCGTACTGCAACTGTGGCAGGTACAAGCTGGAAACATATTCGAAACCCCATACGAATTCGTAAGCAGAGCTACGACCACAAGGGCGATAAAAAGCAGTTTTAGTGAAAGCAGCCACCATAGCTAGTGACGGGGTCATCACCATTCTTCCTTCTGTCACTATGACCATGACCCTGGCCATCGTCATGACCCAAACCATGGCCATCAGCACCCTCGCCATCATCTTGACATTGAGTATGAAAGTCTGCATATGTGCGGGCCTTCGTGTGGTGGTCCTCAACATCGTCGGCCTCACCATGCTCATCAAGCTCGTCATTAGCAACCCCCGGAGATCACCATCACTGGCAGCATCATCACGCTCGTCGCCACCATCATGCTCATCATCAAGAGAACCAACTAGCAACAGTTGGAGGACCGTGGGGCAGACCAAGACAATAGGATCCTGACCCCTAAATTAGCTGCTCGTGGTTTCTGACAGGCCGTGGGCTTAGTAAGTGGTATTCAGCTGGTGGCATAAGTACCCTCGCCGGAGGTGTCCTCATCTTAAAGCTGCTTGCATCCTACTATAGGGGCCTTCATAATTATCCATACTGTTTTGGGCGGCTCCTTATTCCAATTATAGTATATTGGGCCCGAAAACCCTAGTGAAAATTACTAAGGACCCCATATGACTTGCTAAGTGGTAACAGGAGAAGCCCGGTTCAGGCGGACTGGGAGCCCTCTTTATCCGGTTTAGGGTTTAGGGGTTTAGGAGTTTAGGGGTTTAGTAGGTTACGGGTTCAGGGGTTTAGGTGTTTAGGGGGTTTAGGGTTTAGGGGTCTAGGGTTTAGGGCTATTGTGGGCCCAGCCACTCTCAAGCCAGTCTGAGTTGAATAGATCGCTTTCAGAGGGTCCAGAATAGTGAACTTGTTGATTCCTTAGGGCTCATCATCACACATATACGAAACATTCGAAGTACCATGTAACAAATTATGTAGAGACGTCTGGTAGCTAAGGCACGAAACTCCTCGACTACCTTGTGGAGCAGTAAAAAAACGGTGTCTACAGGATTACCAATACTTATTTTTTTTTGAGGGGGGGTTCTTTATAGTTATACAAGTTATCCTAGAAGATACCCCAGAGCCTTATTCTTGCTACAAAGGGCCCTGTACTAGACAATTATAGTATATAACCCTCATGAGAACCCTTTGAAGGAACACTATTTACAAAGGCCCCGATACTAGGTCCTTGTAGAACCCTTATAGTAACCCTCATCAGAACTCTTTAAAGGAATCCTATTCTACTCACAAAGGCCCCTATAAGTATTTCGAGTCGGGGCGAGCATTGGCCGCAGTCCTCTGCCCTCGACCCTGAGCCGGTTGCACAACGCGTGAAATACGTGATCGCGGTTTTTGGTTTTTAGAGGGGGGAGGGGGGTGGGGGGGGGATATTCTGCCATCAATTACAGTAAGAAACCCCAAGATCGTATTGGTAGATATTTAGGCCCCTATTTTCCTTAAACGGATGCCCTCCGGCTTGCGGCGGAGAAGCAGCCACCAGAGGTGAGTGGTGGTTTCAGCCGGGGTTTCTGGGGCTCATGTCTCACCCGGAGTTTTCGGTCCCAAGACCACGAACAATGCTTGGCATGGAACAGAGCGAGTTGACGTGGACGGACCAGAATTCCGTGCAGATGCACGCTTCGATGAACGTGGGTGGCCGGGCTACCACTATTGCAACCTGTCATGCGGTCTGAAACGAAGAACAAAAGCTTGTTCTCAGTATAGTATATAATACCAGACTTCAGACTTTCAGTATTGTGTGCTACGTCTGTATACATATGGTGTTCGAACCTGATATCATTATGTTTCTTCTTGCACCTTCAGCGTAGGTTTCAGGCTTCGGGTTCAGCTTGTGAACAGAAAATATGCGCGGCCTGAAGCTTTAAACTCGTCCTATACCCCAAACTCCTGAATACTTATCGAATATTCGCACTTGGTGACCTGTTTGGGGTGCAGGCTTCAGGGTTCCTAAGTCCCAAGCACGAAAACCCTGGTAGGAAATCCACCCAAAACCCTACACCCCCGAACCCTAGACCCCTAAATCCTAAACCCTAAACCCCAAAACCGAAAGCCAAAGCCAAAAAGCATACCCTAAAACCTCAACCCTAAAACCGAAAGCCAAAACCAAAAAGCAAGCCCTAAACCCTCAACCCTAAAAACCGAACGCCAAAAAAGCCCACACCCATCCGAATCCCCAGGCCGCCAGCAACTCGTATCCTTATCAGGACATGAGCTCGGGGCTCTTGGGTTTACATTTGGGCTTTGGGGTTTGGGGTTTGCCAGGATCCAGTATCCGCTCCGTTTGGGAGGCAACGGCTTAAGTTTTGAGGATTCAGGTTTCAGGGTTTCCTCTGGGATGTAGAGTTTTTGTTTGGTTTGCGGTCAATGACCAACTTGGCTACAAAAACCCTGGCCTTTCGACTTGCCTCGGCTTGACGATTCGCAAGCGCGGCCTCGAAATGGGAGCTTCCGAACATAGCCGACCCGAATATAGCATCCTAGATAGTACGATCCTTGTTATAAGGAGCCCCAAAACAAGGTACCCCTAATTGTCCGAAACTACCATATCAAGCATGCCCCAAAGGCTTCCCTAAGCCCCAAACCCGAAACTCTCAAGCGCTTACCTAACCCCTAATCCCGCGGACCTACTTAGGTACCTGGGTTACGGATAACAGTTTTGTAGGTTGCTATTTGGGAGCACTTATGATGATTAGGCACTTGGACCCTTTCCCAAATGTGAAGCTCGTCTTGCGAGCCCATGAGCAGGCCTCTTGCAACTTAGTTTGTATATTGGTGCGCGTACGTGGTGCTGAGGCCACCCTACTCATCAGCTCTTACCCTTCCGCGTTGTAAAACTGTAAACACGTTACCCCCCAGCCCGAAACTTGGTTTCATGAGAATTCAGTCCAGCATTATCTTAAGTTGTGATGTCTATTCATCTACGAACAGTGGCGCATTTGGTGATCTGCGCGACCGGGCTTTGGATAAGAGCATTGTGACGAGCTTCGGTTTGCTGCATGTTTTCAAGACATGGAACAAGTGAGTATCGACAAAACTCGTATCATTAACATCACAGAACGAATGTGAGTCACATCTTGGTTCGTAGGAATGCATGTTTGTCTAGCACCGCAGCAATCAGCAATGATACCAGGGATGACATTGTATTCAGCAGCTTCCGCTTATATGTTCGTTTTTACACAACATGTATATCCGTTCTGTGGTAACAGATTCCTTATGTGTCCCTAAGTGTAAGTGTTAATCCCCAAGGGATAGTCGTCGCAGCGATGAAAAGTTCAGAACATGAGCAAGGAGGAACAGAAATGGGGTTGGACGGTGCCAAGGTTTCGGGTGCAAGGCATCATTTCGTAGTTTTCAGGTACGTGCTTGAGGGTGTGATGGTTTCATGGTGTCATGTTTAAAGGTAGGAAAGGCTTGGACACCCGATTCCTTTTCCCAGCATACAGGTTCCGAAAAAATCGGATCCCAACATCAGGTCACCGTGCATGGAAGGGCTTTCAATGGCAGCAGCAGCAGCAGCAGCAGTAGCAGCAGAATTGTAGCAACATTGCCACCAGCGTTAGCAGCTACCTGTGATTCCAGGATATTTCTCTGATGAAGCGCATGCATTATGGTCTTTCGCGTGGCCAAGCCGCGGGTAGGTCCATGTATGGCAGAGCTCAAGATTCCAAAACTGCAGAAGTTTGGTTCCCCCGGAAAATTCCTCCTGTTGCACACAGGTTTTTTGTGCAAGCAATGCGTTGTTTGTGCCAAGGCGTGATGCGGTTCGATGCAACAAACCATGACACCGGAAGCCGTAAACTTTTGTTTTGGGGGTTCCTTCTTGTAAGAATAGCATAATGGGCCCCAACACCCTATTCTACTTATTAAGGCCACCCTAGATTAAGGCCCCGATATGAAGCACCCAACCCGTGAGCCTTCTGAACCCCTGCGCGCATCAAGTCTTGAAGGACCAAATGACCCTTGAAAGTAGGGGCCCCCTACCCATATACTATGGATCCCCATATGGTATATGAACCTTAAACCCTTTCAGGGTTCATATCGTCCTTAAACCTATGCAACCTCAAACCCGAACCCTTGTACTCCACCCCGACTTCTCGACTCCGCCCCCTACAGTGAACTCCCGGAACGCTTGTTCTACTCCATTCCACCCTAAACGCGCCGCTTCGAACGAAGATATCCTAAACCCCGAATTGGCAAGAAGAACTAGGATCCTGAATCATCGTAAACCCTACATTCTAGAGAAAAGAACACTTAGAAAGTCCTGGAATCCAGAACCCTAACCCCAAACAAACCCCAAATGCAACACAAACTGCTCCCTAATCCTGAACCCTACCCTTAAAGCCTGAACCCGAAAGCCTGCCAATACTTACCCTTCCAAAGCGAAAAAGGATGAGAAAGCTAATGTAGCAGCCTGAACCAGTACCAACATTCTGTAGAGTTGCGTATTATATACCCCAAAACCCTACTGCAATTATTGAGGCTTCTATATTGAAAACTCCTCTGAGTTCCTTGCAGTCCCTCTTTAGACTTAGACTTGAAGAAGCACCAGAGCCCTCTTCTAAGCTGATAGGGCCCCTATATCAAAACTCTTCGGCACGGTTGAAGATATAAATCCTGCATTACCTTAAGGACCGTAAACTTTGGGAATTATGGTATATTCCGTATTATGGGTAATGCAGGATCTACACCCTTAAAGGTACTTGGAGATTCCCTAAGGGTTTCTTTAAGGGTCCCTTTAAAGGGATCTATAGGGATTCTAGAAGGGTATAGGGTTTAGGGTCTATTCCGTGTTATGGGTAATGCAGGATTTATATCATCAACCGGAGGACGAGGATCAGACCAGAACCCGGGATGTCTTCGCGCAGGATGTGGCATGGGCCACGGAGAGTCTTTGGGTTTAGGATTTTGGTTTAGGGGTTTAGGATTTTGGTTTAGGGTTTAGGTTAGGGTTTAGGATTTTGGTTTAGGGTTAGGGCTTTAGGGTTTCAGGGTCTGGGGTTTAGGGGTTTAGGGTTTAGGTTTAGGGTTTAGTTTTAGGGTTTAGTGTAAAACACCCTGAGCCCTAAACATAAGCCCTAAGCCCTAAACCCGCTCTTTCGGGTTTAAGGCTTCTGGACGTCCAGGAGATTTCGGACCGAGGAAGCATGAGGAGTGGGGGCTTCCGACACTGTATGCAGTTCTATTCTGTTTAAGTCTGCATCCTTTTCTATGGCATTCTAGATTTATTATATCTACATAGTATACTTGAATTTATTGTAACAGAATATATTCCAAGGATCTGGCCTGCCAGGTAACATAGGGGCCTAAATCACCGCCAACACTATTCTGGTCTCCTTTGTTATGTTGTAGTATCAAACCACGAAACGCCTTCTTCTGTGTGAAGGCCCTAAACCCTAAACCCCACTGCGGAAAATACTGTTTGCACTTCTAGTGTTGTACCGGCAGACGAAACCTTTTAGAACTGTGTACTACCCTAAATCCAGACCTTGGTAAGCATCATATCCCAGAGATTCGGAGTGATCATACAAAGGTCGCCGAAGTTGCCAATAGTATTCCTGAGGGCTCCTTACTATATTTCTAGTATAGTAATATTACCTGCATTTCGTACCCCCAGTAACCTCCTAAGCCGGATCAGCTTAGAGGTGTACCTCAGGCCGAACCCTAACAGAACCCTTGGAGTAACCCTGAAAGGAACCCTTAAAGCTAGGAAGCCCAGTACTACCCTTATTCCCAAGACCAAAACGGGAGCCCTTTTATTGCTAGGTTACTGGGCATCCTAGAAAGGGACGCTATTTGGGTACATGAACTCCCCGTCATGAAGCCAAGATGCGACCTGCTCTTGGCACTCTCTTTTCTCAAGGATGTCTCACTCTCTTCGCCCACGGCAGCTAGAAGTTCAACGCTTCAGAATGGTAGGGTTGTAGGTAGTTCAGGGTTTAGGGTCTAGGCTGGGGGGCTAACAGTCGCAGCATATGGGAGAGAGCATGTTTACGTTGCTTCCATCATCTTTGTCTCGCAGCCCTGCCGCTTACTCGACCGCCAGAACCGTGAACCCAAGCAATCTCCAAGACAGCCCACAAAACTTTGTAGAAGTGGCGTTGGTCGTCAAAGACAAAGTCAGGGTTCAGGGCTTCAGGGGCCTCGGGTTTCGGGTTTACAGCCGCCTTTCAACCCACCTGGCCTCCATGCAACATGAACGCCAGGGTGAAGGCTGGGTGATGCTTTGTTTCGGGTTCCCTAAACCCGTATACCCCTAAACCCTAAACCCAAAGCTGCCAGATCCAGGGCCAAAGGGTGAAGGTTAGAAGGGGCCCCCACCCTGTAATAGTGACTATAAGGATTATATTAGGGCCTATTAAATTCCCATTATACCACTATTACAGGGTGGGGGCCCCCTTCTAAGGTATGGGAGTTTCCAAAAACATCGGGTATCTCATTTTTGAGGGCACTTATATTGAGGATCCTACTATTTAGGGTACTATATTAGGGTCCCCTATTTTCGGAAACTCCCATATATTCCTAGGGTTCCATATTACAGGTATAGTAGAATGGGCCCCAGAACCTTGTTTTGAGTATTAAGGCCCCGTTTTTTATGCTTCCAGATCTAGGGCTGGCAAAGTAAGCTGATACCAGCGGCGGAGTCCTCATAGAGCTTGCCAGAGTCGAAAGCACTACCAGGAGCATCCCCTTGCAGTAGTTTTAGCTAATACACCAAAACCGAGTAATTCCCACAGAAATTCGGTGTCAGCTCATGAGTTCCCAATCAATGATTTCATATGGGATAGGTAGTGGCCTTGCTCCGTTTACGGTGAGGGGGCTGAGGGAAGCCCTGAAGCCCCAAAATCCCGAGCTTTGAACCCTAAGCCTCAAACTCAAAACCCCAAGCTACACCTTAGCTTAAACCCCAGACCCTAAACTCTAAACAGGTTACATTCAGACATACAGCTATCCTTATTGCAGTCTATCGAGCGGGGGTCGGTGTGAATCAGAGCCGCTTAGAGGCCCAAGGGACTTAGTAAGTAGGTTGTAAGTAGGGTTATAAGTACCCCAAATGGAGTTACCCCAATTATAACCCTACTTATAACCTACTTACTAAGTCCCCTGGGCCTCCAAGTGATCTTCTTGTGGCCAGCCTTTTAGCTGGCTCAAGACACACTCCTTCTCGAAAATTCACCGTCATTGTGCGATGTCCGGCATCAATCCAGCCATCCTGAAGCTCATGGAGTCAGTGGCTTGGTCTTGGGTTTTGCCGTTTGGGGTTTAGGGTTTAGGGTTTAGGGTTTAGGGCGGTTTAGGGTCAGTGGCTTGGTCTTGGGTTTTGCCGTTTGGGGTAAACGCCTCTTCAGGAGTAGAGCAGTTATGAGAATCCTTAAAGGATGCTAAGCCCCAAATCCCTCGATGGCCTGATCTTGCAGCTGCGTCTGTGGGTTTGGCATTTTCTGGTCGTTCAGAGCTTCCTGTAGGGTCGGAACGATTGGCAACAGTGTTCCTGAGCGTTCCGTATAAGGTTTATAGAGGGTTTATTTAGGGTTATACTTATTCTTGAGGTGGCCTGTGTCGTGTTGATAGGAGGTTTTGGTCCTTAGCATTAAGTACCATGAGCCAGAAACTCGTAAACCTTGCCCCTCTATAACAATGCTATGTTTGACCCCAACCCCCTATTCCTATTAAGTCATAGGGGACCCTTAGGGGGATAGGGGAGAAGGACTATACTTCCTCAAATAGACCTTCTTAGGTCCTTATTATCGGCATTAAGGCCCCCTACCCCGCCCTCCAAGGGTCCCTATGATTCAGGCGCCTACGCTAGGGCTCCAAAACCTGCACTGCACCGCAAAAGTCTCAGCCGCGGAAACCCGGATCACACCTCAGGGAGTGACACCTACCCATAATTAGTCTCCATTGCAGCTCCTTTTTGGATTACCCTATAGGATCCTAATTATAGAAGTGGTGAACCCAGAAAAAAAGGAACTGCAATGGAGACTATCGTAAACCCAAAACCACCTAAGGGGAAAGCCCGTGAAGCTTGCACTTTCAGGGCCTTTTTCTCTAAGCACTAGGGCCCACAGGCCATTTTCCCTGAGTCTTAGACCCAACAAACCGCGGAAAACTTAGAATCCTAAACCACGGGAGTTCCGAAACACCTCGAGGCCCTGATCTTAGAACCCTTCTTACCGAGGTGGGAAGAACTAGTAATAGTATCCCTTGGTCGTCCCTGTTATGAGAGTATCTCCCAAATAACTGACTAGTAATAGCACTTCAATATTGTTTTCATCATATCTCCGAAAACCCAGTCGAATTAAGAAGGCCCCTGTTGTTAGTCCGAAAACCTGAAGCCCCAAACCCTGTTTCTGGGACCCCCCCCCATGCGCACGACACGCCGATACCCATACCCACAAGCTGCAAGGGTGTTGCAAGGGCTCGACTTAGGGTACTCTAGGGTAGGGGCTCGGGAATTGAAAGCCTTAGCCCAAAACCCCCGAACAAGCCGGGCTCAGGAGAAGCCTCAGGCAGGAACAGGGAGGCAGAAGGATGCCATTCATCGCAACTTGGCCAACACTTGGGGGTTGAAGTTAGCTCGCCCAGTAGTAATCTAGAACCCTGTTGAACAAGGCCTTCTTCCACAAACACGATTGTCATCGGGATCTGGGTATCAGAGCGTTAGCAAACCCTAAGCCCTAAACCTTAATCCGGGGATCTACGTTGAATCTACATCGCACCCCCCAAACCCGAAATCCCTCATTCCCTGCCCAGGCTACCCTTTGAGGATCAGGGCTGCACGAAGGGCGCAAGAGAAAGAATCCATTGAGCCTACCTTAAGGACGAAAGGAACCCTATAAAGGGGGCCATAAGGGATCTATAGTAGGGCAGGGTTCCATTAAGGCCACTATATGAGGGTTTTCAATACCTTAAGGACGAAATGAACTCCAAAAGGGTTTAAGGTTCATATACCTTATAGGTATTCATAGTATATGGGTATAGGGCCCGGTACTTTTAAGGGTCATTTGGTCCTTCAGCTAGGGTTCGAGAAGTCTCGACAAGAACCCAGGAGCTGACAGGGAACAAACAAAATTCTCCTGGCCCTAAATCCTGAACTCTGAATCCACCCGCCCCTCCACCAAAAAAGATGCCCGCCTTCCCCAAAACCTCAAGACTAAGAAGTGTACAGAATATCTGCCAATAATATTCCTAGCTTTCCCTCTAACAGTTATATCATAACATGCCCCACAAACCTACTCTTATTCTTAAGGCCACTACAGCACCTTCCGAAACCGCCGGAATTTTTGTAGCGAGGCCAAAAGTTCGCGACCTTCCTGAAGGGTGTGGAGATGGAGCCGAGGATGTTCCAACAGATGCTCTGCTTTACTAGGACCTAGAGTAGGCCCTTATTCCCTTTTCGTAGGGTTCAGGTTCCCTTATAAGCCCCTTTAAACCAAAAAGGGGCATCCTTTTTATTCCTAGGTTACTCTTGGGTCTAGTTTAAGCTTTGATATAGGGGCCTTTAATTAATTGATGTTACTATTTTGAAGGTTCCTTGTTAGAGTTATAGTATATATACCCCCCCCCCCCCAACCCTGGCAGCTTTAAGCCTTGCGCTTCATGGCTTTGAATAGTGGCACTTCTGGTTAAGAACAGCAGAAAGCAGCTACTACTACTGCTAGTATTACTACTGCTACTACTACCACTACCACTACCACTACCACTACCACTACTACTACTACTACTACTACTACTACTACTACTACTACTACTACTACTACTACTACTACTACTACAAACACTAAAAGAAGTCCCTCCCCCTTTTCCAACACAGGCCTGCTTAAGCCCACGATGTCCTGTAGGGCCGCCAAGTGTAGCGCTACTGCTACTCCTACTGCTGCCTCTACTTCTACTGCTTCTGCTACTATTGCTGCTGCTCCTGAGCCCAGGATCATCAAAGCCCGCCGCTGGGCGTTGGAAGCTTGGGTGGCAGTGGTGAGTCGCATTTTAGATGTCGGTTCCTTAGGCCAGAACCCTAGACTCAAACCTACATGCTAAGTTCTAAGGCCTAAAACCCTGAGCACTAAAGCCAAGCTCGGGAAGGGAGAGTTCATGTTGCCAGTTTGAGTTCAATCCTTTTGGGTCCACCAAGTCGTTCTTCGGTGCAGTTTGCTCAGTTCAACCGTGCGCCTTGCAGCAAGTGCTATTCTTCCTAGCGTGCTGACGATTACTGCCATAGGTACTCTCAGGATCCTGGTTTTGCGGTACTTCTCTGGGCCATCAACCCCTAGCCCCAAAACCCTACCAGTAAAAGTTCGAAAGCATAGAACACTATACCCCAAACCCTAAACCCTAACCCCTAGACCCTAAACTACACCCTAAATGCCATAGCATCTGAGAATCGCTGCCAGCAAGAGCTAAGGAAGATCTCAGTGCAGAAGCGCAGCGAGATCTTCCGGCTCGCAGCAAGAACATCCAGAAACTGGGCTCTTGATAAGGGGTTTAAATCAAGTTCAAAAGGGCTCTTGTTCAGGATTTGACTTTTTAAGCGCTCATTACAGTTTAGGATCTATTGTTTAGGGTTCTTGTTCAGGGATTGTAGGTAAGTTACCATCATAGGGATCTATTGTAAATAATGTGGATTCCTTATGATCGTATCTTAGGTCATATCCTTTAAAAAGAATCCAGGAAACTGGGTTCCTGTTCAGGAGTTTACTTTAAGTGTTCATTACATGGAGCTGTGGTAAATCATCTCATTTCCTTCTTTGGTAACTGAAACAGAGTTCTTTAACAAGAGCCGAGGAAAGAGCAAGCTGAGCCCTTTCCAAAGAAGCTCCAGACAACAGAAGTCCAGCAAGTAGAAGATGGGTCTTCTGGAGAGAAGGTGGCAGAAGCCCAGCAAGGGCTCCATTGTGAGGAAAGCCTGCAGGAAGATTTCCAGCAACTGTGCTCTTGTTAAGGGATTTATATTTAAGCTACCACAATAAAGAAAACCACATTATTTACTGTAGATCCTGAATATGGTAACTTAAACTAAACCTCTTAACAAGAACCCAGGCAAGCGGGGCCTTGTTGCGATGGCGACATGCTGCCCGATCCACCAATGCCAAGCATGGAGGACCCAAGTACAGGGCCCTCTTGCGGTGATGATGCGCCGCAAGACTCGCCGCTGTCACAGCCAAGCACAGACAGCTTGACAGAGCCAAGGTGGCACTTCGGATTACTTTTCTGTGAAAGATTACCTGCTGCTAACCTATTAGTACTGGCAAGTAGTACGACTACTGTCACAATTATGACTGTTGTTATTGTGACTATTGTTGTGATTGTTGTTTATGCCTACTGGGGTTTATATGGTTCTCATGAGTATGATCATTATTACCACCTTCGGTTGTACCTACCCTAAGCCTTTAAACATAAACAGCCCTCAATTCCTAAATCCTTTAACCCTAATTCCGAAGCCCTAAACGCCTAAAACAAACAGAATGGTTATCAAAACTATGTTCCCTTTTTGGGTTCCTGATGTAATATGGCACCTAATACTTAGGGTACCCAAAAAAGGGCCCCAATTTTGAAAACTATCCTAAACCCCCAAACCCTATTATAGACCCCTTTAAGGACCCCCTTATAGATCCCTTTAAAGGAACCCTGTTAGATCCCCAATTTTTCGACAAAACTACCCAAGTAAGGAGCGCTTTGGCAGTTTCGGCCTGGCTCCTCCACATGTCTGCCGAGCTCAAAAATGCGACCGTCGCTCTGTCAGCCTTTGAGACTTTACAGGGAACTCCAGAAAGTTGGAATATGGTTTCATGGTAGGATACCCTACAATTTACCATAGAAGGGTTAGGATAATCACATTCCAACTTTCTGGCTTTTACCTTATATGTTAGGTACTGACCCCTCACTCAGTCATAGTTGAGTAATAATCATAATATAGATATATAAGGACCTTAATGGTAGCCCTATTGTTGAGTAATTTTCTCAATCGTAGCCCTATCATAGACTCTTACTGAATGGGGCCAGTACCTAACTTATATGCTTCAGCGGGAGCAGGTATCAGTCGGCCGGTCAGCGACGAATGCGCACCAGTAATATGTCTGCTCTTCAGCCCACATCACAAACTCGAACTTCAGTACCATTAGTCTTCTTACTGTTCGTACTCTTCTAGTTACAGTTATTACCATGTCTACTATTGTTGTTATTCTAATTACCCCCACTAGCGATGGCTGAGGTCATTTTGGGAGATCCCTAGGATGGCACCGGGTTGTTTGGGGTTTGTTGTCGAAGCCACGACGTTCTGGATTTCCTTACATGTGGGCTCGAGAGATCAGTTTGTTTCTATCGAGAGCCTCGTGGCTCAAAGATCCGTGCTGCACACATGCAGCCGACGAAGCTGCCTTTGCAAAGCCTTTGTAGCTGAGTAGATAACCTTTAACCTTTGGGGGGGGTGCTTTCATTATACAAAATCCTACTATAGTCTACAATGCAAGCTGCCCTTGCAATCCTGACTATGAAGAGTTGCAAAGGAGTGTTGGTGAGCCCTCAACCTCTAAACCCTTGAACCTAGGGCCTTAATCGTCGTGAGGGCCATCATTCCTACAGCGTAGCTGACGTTCTTGCACATCATGGTGAACCCCGTCGAGTCTGAGCCTTGAACTCAGTAAACCCCCTCGAAATCACCCCTAACCCAAAAGGGTTTAGGGCTGAGAGTAAACCACCTGAACCGCCGAAATCAGCAAAGGCAGTTCGGTAAATCTGTCCACTTGCTTGGTGCGTCTCGTCATGTATAGTCACTCAGGAACGAACCGGGCACAGCAAACTCGACCACACCCTGCCGACGTGAACCTCGAAAGCTTTGCCACAATAGGGTGATCATATTCCTTCATATCCACTAGCTTTTGTTTCTGGTATAGTTGACGGTCAAACAGGCTCAGTAGAGGGTTAAGAGTTGACAGTAGTCTCCTTTTGTAGTCGCTACATGTGACTTCTGCTGTATGTAATCAGAATAATGTCACGTAACCCAAGGCCCTGTTCAAAGTATTAAGGCCCCTTTGTGCTGAGCCAACAGTTCTTAACCCTGAAACAGCAGACTCCGGTCCGAAAGCCCCACAGCATCGGCATCGAGCCCAGAAGCAAAGTATCACCCCTGACTTAGATAGTTATGAGGTCTTTGTAGGGTTTAACAGGGTTGAGATTGCTTAGGGTTTAGATAGGGTTCAGGGGTTTAGACCGGGGTTAGGGGTATGACTTAGATAGTGAACGGGGGAACTTTAAACCTTTTGGCCTTATATACTAGTTCTATCTTAGAAAGTTTGAAGTTTTTGGGGCCCGGTTGTTGAACAAGAGAGCTAAACTCCCGAAACCCCGCGTAACCCTGAGGCCTTTTCGAAGAAAACTACGCAAGGGGTTTAGCCACCAAACTATATTCTTTGACAACTACGCGAGGGCTCAATGTTGGACCCTCCTTAAGGAGAAGGCCCCCCCCTCCCCACAAACAATAAAGCCTTCCGAGAAGTAGAAATCAGGGACCTTCATCAGTGGCCCCACAGGTCATTGAGGATTACTGAGTTTCTGTGGAGTAAATGATAAAGGATTTAATAAGGCTTTGGGGATTATCGAATTCAGGACTACTCAGGGTCTGGGACTGCAGGCCTTCAAGCAGTTGTCGCCAAAACTCTGACCATGTGCACAGTGTCTTGAGCTTCCCTTTGTGTCGCGTCGATACTTCTTGGGATGGGTGATTGTCCAACGAAGTCCGTCTCTACGACACAGCGCAGACGCAGCGAACCTAATCAGGGCAGGTGGTTCACGCTTATGTCGTGGTCCCTGGAGGTGTTTGCCGGGACAAAAGCCGAAGTCTTCCGCAGTGTGGTCCACCCCAAAATCGTCAGGCTGATTACTGCTTTCCACTTCGGTGGGACTAGGTGAGGCAGCCGTTGGCGTGCACGGAAGAGCTGCCCAGTGTGCTCTTGGCGAGCGTACAATCTCGTGTTATGGGACAGAGTCTTTCGTGTCAACACGCTTCACAAAAGGTGACGCTTCAATGCTCGCAAGGCCTGGGCCACCTTCAGCAACATGGCTTCGTCCACGTTGACGTGAAGCCGGACAACATCGCCAGAAACGAGGATGGCTTCATCAGGCTCCTGGACTGCGGCCAGGCAGCCCCATTTGGTGATGGCCTGTGCTGCTATATGGGCACTAGGGGTTTCCAGTCACCGGAACCTTGGGCACAAGCTGAGGCTTTAAACTAAAAAATCGCCTCTCGTGTTTAGGTGAGGTTGAGATGACCGCCGCTGTGTGTGTGTGTGTTAGAGGTTCTATTAGTAGATGACATGAAAGCCGTGGCGTGGTCCATTCTCCCACGTCAAGAAAAGTTGATTTGAGCAGCGGTTGCCTGTACTTTTGATGGACACTGCGGCATGGATCCCAGCGGGCTGCCATTTCACGGAGATGCACTCATTGAAAACGTGATGAAATACAAGTAGATGACTAGATAACGCGTTTCGCTCTGGCGCGTTCTGCTTATTAAAACTTGCTTAGGCTTGCTTGCTTGTCTGTTTGTGTTTGCGTGTGGGCGTGTGGGTGGGCGGGCGGGCGGGTGGGCGCGTGGCCGGGTGGCCGGCTGGCTGGCTGGCGGCTGGGTGGGTGGCTGGGTGGCTGGGGTGGCTTGGGGGTGGCTGGGGGTGGCTGGGGGTGGCTAGGGGTGGCTGGGGGTGGCTGGGGGTGGGTAGGTGGGTGGGTGTGGTTGTGGGGCGCATCTTTCGGGACTAAGACTGAGAACTCAAGAACTCATGGGTGCGAAGAACGGCGCAGGATCAATTCTTTCGGCGTGGGCTCAGTCAGGAGGGTTTCGCGTGTGTCTGCAGACTGATCAACAAGGACATTTGCGGAATCTTGCGAGTGCTCGCGGACCTAACCCCAAAAACCCTTGAGCCCTATTATCCCAACCCCTAAGCCACTACACGGTAAGCATGAAAGCTTGAGCCGTAAAAACTTTTAGATCCCAAACCCCAGCATCCTAAACCCTGAAACCCATCTTCAGCTCAAAGTTCGGCTGCCCCAATGTTGGCCTATTTTTACAGGATGTAACTTCAGTTACGAAAAAGTGATCTACAGTAAATAATACTGTATCTTTATTGTGCTAACTTAACTTCAGGCCCTTAACAAGAACCCAGTGAACCTATCTTCAGCTCCAAGTTCGGCTGCCCTATTCGTTCCACGTTGCCCACCTCTGGTCCATGGCACCTGAACTCTCGGAACCTGTTTCGGAAATCCGAAAGGGACAAGTTTTGCCTGGACGTCCGTGCTCTTATCGCACCGTCTGCAAGTGGTTGATCACACCCTAGACGCACACGAAGTGAGAACACTGTATATGCAACAAGAGAAGAGTGGGACTGCCGGCGCAGTGCGCGAAGATCCAGGACACGTTGTGGAAGCCTTTTGAATTGCGTTGCTGCCGAGCGGGCTGCTGGCCCTCCAGTCTCGTCGTTTGGGATGCTAATACTATTGTTGCTAACATTGCTTCTCATTAAAATGTATTGATTTGTTTGCAAACCAAGGTTTACGTTTTCATGGTTAAGGGCCAGGATTCAAGCTCAGGTTCGGGCTCTCTTCGAAAAGTTGTTTTTCGGATGCTTGTCCTGAATGGGAACCTCGAACCTGTCTGTCACAACAGCGATATCTTGGTGGCCAGGCACCGAAAGCTGTCCAAAAATCCGGCATCATGTCCCCTGGGTTTGCGATGTAAGCTTTGGATTATGAGTTTCAGGTTTCGGGGTTTTGGTGAGCCTGGCAAGGCTATAGGGGGTATATCGTTGGGTCCTTTCCTTCTGGTTTGTGTGAGCGGTCGTTTAAGATTTGGGGCCTTTTAGGTTCTGCCTCTTGTGTTGGGCACCTGGACTGACAAATTTTGTACTGGAGCGCTTCTATAAGATTCGAGGTTACACCCAACAGTCCCAACAGGTTACCCTAGACGCTACATTCGCTACATCGGCAAAAGGCATGATACTTATAGGTGTATACATGCTCCAAAGCACATTTTGGTTGGTTCGTCTCTCGACAGCCTGTCAGCTTCATCCTTGTGATGGCCGAAGGTTAAAGACCCGTCGTTTTCCAAGAATGATTTGCAAAAAAAAGGATCGAGTGTTGAGTTTGTTGTCAGAATTGGACTAAACTAGAACAGGGGGTTGGATTTTTTAGA